TGTCACTCTATTTCTGATGTCTTTCTGTTTGTCTGGTCCCCTGCCTCCATGAGGCTACCCATGAAATAGGATTACTTTAAGGTTCTTCTGGAATCTGCTGATTCCTGTGCTGTAGACCGGAGGAATTCCATGTGGTGTTGCGAATAACTGAATAGCATTGATCCAGTAATTCAAAGAATGACATAACAGGTATGCTTTGAAACCATAAGATGAGCAGATAATTCCAGTTGGAAGGAACTTAAGAAGGTCGTCTAGTCCAAATTTCAATATGCAAGACCTCATGATTACTCAAGTTTCATTTAGTATCAGAAATGAACCCAAGGAAAAAAGAAAACCCACATTCACATGTATTAAAAATTCTTTTTAGTTTGTTTTACAGCTGGAATGTGCTATGGATTTAGCATGTCTCAGAGGGAATACTTTTTCTTGAGTCTTAGTGAACAAATGAAATTCTACTCTGGCTCATTAACAGAGAAATCAAAATGAGTGGCAGTAATCCAGATATCTGCTGTAGTCCTGTTTCAGAATGCTGTTTATATTAGCACAGTTAGTATGTAAAATGCTTGGGTTTTAATTATGGATTAAGGAAGTAAACTGTTTTAAAGAGAGGTGAATGAAGTCACCCGGGTAAACATGCCAATCTGAAGAACAGCTCCCTAGATTGAACCAAGAAGCAATACAAAAAATAATTTACTAAAGACTTTTCAAATTTTTTTTTTTCATGAGCCTCCACATTCATTTTCTCTGCAAGTGAAGTTTCCAGTATCACACAGACTGGTTATTCCCATAGCATTCTCCAGAGGGACAGAAGCTAATAACAAAAGTCTTCAAAATAAATACCAGTACTTTATCCAAGCTGCTGCACAGTGATGATTTTCACCTGCAGTCAAGGGCAATGCAGCTCTGAAAAATAAAAGTCACTCCTGTGTGCTGTGTTGAAGTCATGATTTAAGTGGACTCATGTGTTTTTAAAGAAGTTTACTTGGTCCGGGTTTACCTCCTTTGAGGCTGGTATAGTGCTTATTCAGAAAAAACCCAGAACAGCAGTGTTCTCAGTTCACATCTTCATCAGGTGGCAATGCTACAAAAATGTTGATATAAGGAAGGTTTGTGTTTCTTTGGGTTTGCTGAGTGCCTGTGTCCCCTTAATTCAGTGTGGAGTACATCTGAATAACTCATATTACCTTGATTTATATGAGGTCTGACTGGCAACCCACCCATTGCTCATCAGGCTTCCCACAGAAGCTGCTGTCAAGAGTAGGGCTGTCTGGGACATGGTGGAACTCGGGGGCTTGGGAGGGGACAGTGGCATTAGAGCAATTCCCCCAAGGCAATACTTGTTCCCACCATAAATCTGGTTCATAAAATGTCTTCCAAATGCTTCTAATTCTTGAAACTGAATTAATTATTTCATCTTTCAAATGAGCAGACCTTTTTATTTTGTTATAGTGAGCTAATTACATGGTTATTAGAGTATTAGTGCTCCACAGCCTTCTTGGCAGATGATATTAGTTACTTGACTGAGCACCAGCGTTATCGTTGAGTGATGTTGAAATGGTTTGCTCACAATCACCTATTAACTCTTATCTACGGAGATTCAGCCCAGTGGTCTGTTCACTAAACCATATAACTTCTGATTATTTGCTCATTACTTTTTGCCAGATTTTAGCTACTTGGTCTGGAATTTTCCTTTCTTCATATCTGCCTGAAGCAGTGTCATCTCTTTCCAGGAACTAGATAAAGAAATATGCATTGGTTTTTCCTATATAGATTTTAAATGAATCAAATAATTCTGAACATCCCTGTGAGAAATTCTTCTGCTCTGGGATATGGAGACACCATTGAAACCCAGGAGACAATTTTCCTTGAGTCATGGATGTATTTTCGTTCTTTTGTCCCCCACCTAGATACTTTCAGTTTATCATTTTCCCCTCAAATTGCCAGCTTTTGAGTTTCAAACCACCATGTGTAGAGTTTAGTCCCTGAATGCTTTTCAGTTTGCTGCTGCTGTAGGTTTGCATTGTTTCAGAGCCATAAGAATGAAGGGGCTTTACCTGCAGTTTTGGGAGATGCTGGTAAATAGACGCTATTGGCAACGTGGAGACTCTTGGTTGCTAATAGTGCTCTTCCTTTTGGTGCCAAAGCTTCTCGTGCAGCAGAACAGAAATAGGACGTGAGGAAAGACAATAGTAAGGATTAGAGGAATAGGAAACCAGTGGGAATGGGAGGGGAATCTGGAGAAGTGACTATGGGGGATACAGTGACTGCTGAGAACTGAGATGGGAGAGAAAAAGATTAGTTAAATGTGTGTACGTGCAGAAGGAGTGGGACTTAGGAGTGAGGAAGCTGAGAGTGGAAGAAGGAAATAAAAGGGGAGGAGATTTGTGTTTGATAGGCCGTGGAGGATGGGACATGTCAAATTTTGAGGTGTGCCTAGGAGGCAGGGAATGATAGGAATAAAGCTACAGCTGAGATGGAATTGTGGGAAGAGGAAACCAATTCATACAGTGAAGAAACCAGTCTGAGCTGGAAGAAGGTGGAATGGGTATGAAGAGGGAAGGCCATGCTCTGTTTAGAACAGGAGAAGAATCAGTTCTGATCACTAAAAGAGAGTCTCCAAATCTCATGCAAAACAAAAACCTGGAACAAAACTCCTGATGGGATCTAACAACTGCAGGCTCAGTAGAGATGCAGGCTTTCTGACACGCTATTTTCCCCCATAATCACCACCTTTGAACAATTCAGTTACCCTGGCAATAATTGCTCCCCTTCCTTGTTCACCTCTGGGGCTCTTAATTTTCTTAACTTTCCCTTTGCTTCTAGCCTGCTCTGCTCGGCAGGTGCCAGCAATGCTGGGCTTTCAAACTGTCTCATTAACGTAGTTGGGTTGAATTTGGAACAGTGGTTCATAACCCATGCCTTCTGTTCCAAGAGCTGAACAGAACGTGTGTGCATTAAGTTGGTCTTGTTTTCCTTAAAAATAAAAATTGTTCTTACAAAGTTTTTACTGAGCCTTACAAACATGCTTGCTCCTCCGAGTGCTTTCAGTAGTGTTTGCAGGTTGATTTCACAGGGTGTTGAAAACAGAGTGAGATTTTTCATGTTTTCTGCTGTTTTTTGAGATTGAATGGGGAGGGTGGGATGATGATTAGCATTATTATTTCTCCTGGGAATATATTAAAAGATAGCACATGGATAAATGGAGCCTCAAGGGTGACTCATGTTCTTGTTTAGCTTGGACTAGGTCCAGCTTTTAAGAGGAACTTGATTTTAGGTGCACGTTTTTGCAGAGTGTATTAAACTGAAGTTTTAATTCCAGAGGTCTCAATAGCATGTGTTTGTTTTTATTTAGAAATGTGGTTAAGGGATGTTTTTAGTGGGTGAATGTAAAATAAATAAAACTATCTCAATCTGGAGGTTGCAATTCTTTGGCATATTAAGTGTCAGCAAAAATCAAGTGGAAGGATGTTATTTAGAGAATGGACTCAATTTTTATTATTTACTTTGTAAACATTTGTCTTTATGCTCAGTTGTGAGATGCAAAAGTACAATTTCTTCAGTAGTGTTTGCTTTTCACTATGTAAATCTTTCTGCATATTTGAGAGGTGGCTAAAATCCATGTTCAGCACTGGTCCACTGCCTGCTTGTCTCTGGGTAACACCCATTCAGGAAGTACAACATGCTGTTACCCTATTAATTGCCACAGAGTGTGCTGGTTTTAGTTGGGATGGAGTTAATTTTCCTCACAGTGTAGCAGTGTGACGCCTTCATGCCATTCCTTCTCTAATGTCATTCTGGTGTGGTTTGAATTTTTTTTTGCCATCATAAATTCTAAGTAAGCATTGTTTAGTTTTTGTTTAAAAAAAGAAAAACAACCACCTTGCTCTCATGTGCAGTGTGAATAGCTTATGAATGTTTTGAAATCTGTCTGCAAAGCAATTGATGACATTCATTTATAAGTTGTTAAGGGAATGAAGCAAATTAGGGCTTCACTTGATTTTTGTTTAGTTTCAGGGTTTTGTTCTTAATTCTTAAAAATTACTGTTCACTGAGAAAGAATCCATAGTATTTTATTCATACAGCCATCATTTACCTTTTCAATGTAATAGGAAAGGATAGAGTAAGAATGTAATAACGTCATATGTTTTAAAAATGCAGCTTAATGGGTATATCTAATAAGTATACTTCAGTGAAAAGCAATTTCAACACTTGAACCTCATTTGCAAGTTGAACAGTGCATGTCTCTCCGTTAACTCCGAGAGCATAGATGCCTAGTCAGCTGCATGCTGGAGTCATGCACTTTACCTGTATTTCAGTATGCTCAGGTATCGGTAAGACATGAGACCAAAAGAAGAGGTCAGGAGTTTGCGAAATAAGAAGTATTTATTGTGTTGCCTGCTTAGAAAGATTTTTTCCATGTGTATGATGACCTGAATGAGCCAGGTGCAGAATTTAGCCAAGCAGAGCTGCAGTAGTGTGTACAATGGCTTGGTTGGTCGTTTCAGCAGAAGTACCACAGAGGTACACAGTGAGCTGAGATGTGAGAGAAGAACGGTAGTGAAAGACACTAAATTTAAAAACTGTGTTGTTTATTTTTTGGGTTTCATTGACTTTGTTCTATAGTAAAGCTTAGAGATTGTTTTCCAGCTCCAGTATAAGCATGCATCTTTCACATGGCAGTACTTTACTAAAATTCTTCAGGTGATTCAGAAGTTTTATGTACAAACGTTCAGAGGAAGTAAGATTCTCCTGTCTCGCTGTGAGAGATGAGAGGAATTTGACCACACAATTCTTACTAAAATTCTTACTAAAAGGGCTTGTTCATGGTTCGATCTACAGCCCCTGTTGTGAAAAGTCCCTGGTGCAAATTTCACCATGAGTGATTGTGTTCTGTCTGCTGATCTGTTGCTGGTTTTGAATGATGTGTTGCAGATGTAACACTGGACTGTATATTACACAATACAATTTTGTATTAATTCTGAAATATGTTTCAATTGCAGGGATATTAAACCAGACAACATCTTGATGGATATGAATGGACATATTCGATTAGCAGATTTTGGTTCTTGTCTGAAACTGATGGAAGATGGAACGGTAAATTAGAAAAAATGATATATTCCTAAACACATTTTCTTCAGTCCTTTGCTAGCCACTGAAACGTGTGCTAATAAAAAGAAGAGGTGCCTTGTGTCAAACAAGATGGGATTGTAATGGGTATTGGTTTGCAACTAACCTGGGTTCAAAATATGCCTGCACACTGCTTGGGTATACTGTATGCTAAAAGCTTTTTAGATGCATATAGTCAACTCCTGAGTAAGTGAAGAGAAGCTTTTGGTACTGAGTAGGTGTGTGTTGATGAACAATGAATCTCCCGGTTTGTAGCTCTGAGCTGTAATCTTTATTGAAAATGTAGGCTTTAGTATAAGCAGGATGAGATACTGAAACATGATGATGTACTAATTGTAGTATATTTAAACTTGCACAGTATATAATAGGTGTGACTAGAATCCCAGTATGTTAATCATGTCCCAGAGTGTTACAAAGTATCGGAGTTAATATATGTGATTACCTAATCTATAATTACTTAACAGCTCTAAGCATAAGAATTGACAGTTTTGTTCATTCTAGTTTATTAAATATTTGTAAGAGTTGAGCAAATGTGTATTATTGGGATGCCTATTAATTTAGTGCCTTGGATGCCTAAGTATTTCCTTATGAATTTAGAAGCCTTTGTTTGTGTTCAGTCGTTATCGTTACAACCAGAACACTAGGCTAACATGCACAGTGCCACAGACAGCAGTGTCTGTAACAATGGAGGTTGATTTTTCTCCTGGAAATGTAACTTCTACAGGTCCAATCTTCAGTGGCAGTCGGAACGCCAGACTACATCTCTCCAGAAATCTTGCAGGCCATGGAAGATGGAAAAGGGAAGTATGGGCCCGAGTGTGACTGGTGGTCCCTCGGCGTTTGCATGTATGAAATGCTTTATGGAGAAACGCCCTTTTATGCTGAGTCCTTGGTGGAGACCTATGGGAAAATAATGAACCACAAAGTTAGTGCACATTCTCTTTCTGTCTCTCTCTAAGTTAACTTTTAGTAAGTAAGAGGGTAATTTGAAGGCTTATTTTACAAAAGAGTTTTTATGTACTAATTATGTTAATGTTCATAAATGTGGAAGAAAAGCTGTGTTTCCATATAGTAAGCTTATGGTTATGGATTGCAGATGGCTTTGCTTTAGGGTAAAGCAGTTCAAAACTGAAAATCTGGATTTGAAAACGTGGCTGTTAGTTCACTCTATGGAGTAAATCTTGGCTATGTTACATCACTCACTTTCTTCTGGTGGATCCCTTGGTTGGCTATGCAGAAGATACTTAAATGTTCTTCCACATGGAGGTAGCTTTGGAATTCAGTGGTGTAAGAGAAATTTAAATAAAGAAGAAAAACTAGGAGACAAAAAAATTTCCATAGTTTCTGTCCTTTGGAGAAGTCTTTTTTCTAGAAACCTTACTTCGTATATTTAAGAACTGGGAGTATTTGCACATTTCCTTTTTTACATAATGATTTTCACTAAGAAAGGTGATTTTTTCCCAACTTTTTCTTGGTAATAAACTCTTTTCTCTCATTTTTATCTTTAAGGAGAGGTTTCAGTTTCCTGCTCAAGTGACAGATGTCTCTGAAAGTGCAAAGGACCTCATCCGAAGGCTCATTTGTAGCAGAGAGCATCGACTTGGACAAAATGGGATAGAAGACTTTAAGAACCATCCATTTTTTGCTGGGATTGATTGGGACAACATTAGAAACTGTGAGGCACCTTACATCCCAGAAGTCAGCAGCCCCACTGATACATCAAACTTTGATGTGGATGATGATTGCTTAAAAAATTCTGTAAGTATAGAATTAACATTTTGTCAAATCTGCTTTTGTAATATAATTTATAATTAAATACATGTAAATGGCAGTTTATTTCAGTGTGTTCATAGTGTTCTGCATAAACAACACATAGTGCTGCTTTGAAGAACTGGGGGGTAATACATTCATAGTTCGGAGGGTGATCCCCCCAACATGTGTGTGTAACAGTCTTGTAAATTCATTGTAACTTCACACATATTTAACTTGACACATACATCTGTTATTTGCAGTAACAAGTTCTTAGTGTCCATGTCTTACAAAGAATAATGTCTGTACATGAAATAGGCTACACGACAGTATTCCAGCAGAGCGTTGTCAAGCCTTGAACTAAGTTTGCAGAATGCGCTTTATTGTAGTGCTCTACTCTAACTGTTCATATCTCTGTCAGATTCCGTTCAGTTCATTCCCCCCTAAAATTTTTCCAGCTTGTTTACTGACTTGCGCTGAGTTTTGGGAAATTTAGGAGAAATGTTACAGCCATTTCTTGAGAAACAGCGTTAGTGAGAGAGAAATGATTTGCCTTTGCTCAAAAAGCTTTGCTACTATTGATTTTTAACAACCTTAGCGTTTCTGTGCTTATGAACAGGAACAATGACATCAGAGGTGTGCCTGGTGTGGTCTCCTTGAAAGTACTTTTTGGTTTTGTTTTGGTGTTTGAAAGATGCAGAAACCTGCTGTTTAAATGTGAGGTGAAGCATTTGCACTATTTTTTGTTTTCTGAGCTGCCTGGGCACCTCTGTTCCTCTGAGCTTCCTGGACCTGCAGATAAGTGATAGGCAGCATGAATTGGTATAGGCAGGATGATCATTATTTTCATTCCCTTTCCTCCAGCTGCACAGTAGAACATGGAAAACGCTTCGACTAGATACAATCCCGTGGTAGACATACATGAGCATTGAGTCTCTGAGTCCTTTCAAATAGGCAACTTAAGCAAATCAGTCCAGCTGCATAGCACAACTTGCATTTTCTTTGTTTTCCATTTTTTCCTCACTGGCATCTGGTAATGCCCATGTCCCTTCACAACTAAAGTATTTGTATCTTAAAACTTCTTTATAAAGTCTTCAGATACCCGTTTGCACATTGTTTTGCCCAGGAACAGCTATGAGGGCTGGGTGGCAGGAATGGATGCTGCATGTAGCAGGTCTTTGTGATGCCATGTTTGTGAAGCTGAAGTACCTTTTGGGGATTATTCACACATTCGGATGTTGGCCAGGCCAGGGATTTTCCTTTTTAAAGCCTGATCTCCCAGCTGAGTCACACAGAGGTGCCTGTGTGATGTGAATGTTTTCCCGTTGTAAAGAAGCAGGGAGCTGCAGGTGAAGAAAGAATGCTCCTGTGGTGAGTTACTGGACTCGGATGTGAAAACAGAGTCCGATCCTTAATTTGCTTTAGACTTTTGGGGGTGAAGAGCAGCGCCATTGAACTGCTCGAGATGAACGCTGGTTTCTGGAGCTTCATTTTCAGTTTCCTCATTTGAAACATGTGAAGGTAGTTTTTCCCTCTGTTTAATTTAAGGTTATATTTTTACCATTTCTTTTTGCACCTTGCATCTGAAAATTGCCCAACCTGAGGCATTGCACAACTGAGGATATTTTATGTTTTTGCTTTGAGTAATGGACATTGTATTTAATATTGCTTCCCTCCAAACTCTGACATGTACCTTGAAGGTATTTTCCCTGCCTTCTTTCATACACATCTTGCGAAGAAAGTTCACATACTTGCATTCCTGTTACGGAAGTCAGCACTGCAGATGAGACCAGCAGACTTTTGTTTCTTTTAATTCCTTTGAAAGGTTTGAATGACAAACAGCAAATGAGGAATGCCCTTGCTGAAGATAAAAGGCCATGTTGAAAAGCCATAAGTGCTATTGTTCTGCCTGAACTTGGAATAGAACTGGGGTCCCATGGAAAAAATTATCTACATAACAATGAAGTTCAGATTAAAAGTATACGTGAAAGCAAAGGGCAAAACAGTGTTGTCAGGCAGCCTAAGTTCTGCAGGGTTTTAGCTTTTAACTGGTAACTATGGGGACAGGCTGAGAGAGTTGGGCTTGTTCAGCCTGGAGAAGAGAAGGCTCCAGGGAGACCTTATAGCCCCTTCCAGTGCCTGAAGGGGCTACAAGGAAGCTGGGGGGGACTTTTTACAAGGGTCTGTAGTGACAGGACAAGGGGTAATGGGTTTAAGTTGAAAGCGGGAAGGTTTAGATTGGATATCAGGAAGAAGTTCTGCCTGGAGAGGGTGGTGAGGCACTGGAACAGGTTGCCCAGAGAAGCTGTGGATGCCCCATCCCTGGAAGTGTTCAAGGCCAGGCTGGATGAGGCTTTGAGCAACCTGGTCTAGTGGAAGGTGTCCCTGCCCATGGCAGGGGGGTTGGAACTGGATGGTCTGTAAGGGCCCTTCCAACCCAAACCCTTCTTTACTTCTATGATTAATTCTATGATATTTTAGTATCAATTAATGGAAATTTAAGACTTTGTAATTTGGTCTTATCCTTAGTTTCCAAAATGCCCAACATTGTAGACTTGATGTACTTATACGATCTAGCCACGTTTTTGTTTGGAAAAAAAATACAAATTTTCTTAAAATTTAGAAATTTTTAGCACTTTCAGTGTGATAATCTTCATCTTACGGAGTTTCTTTTGATGACTTTAAGGCCATCCCTACTGAGCACCATAAACCTTGCATCTTGAGGTTAAACAGGAAACTTTTAACAGGATATTTATGGATATTGGAACTTAGAGTGGTTCATATAATATGGCAACAGGGTTATTTTGGCCTGAGGAGAAGCTCAAAGATTTGTCTTGGTTTGAAGCTCTTTGTCAGGCAGGAAAAAGGAGCAATGGAGGAAGAAATGGTCAAAGCACCAGTGGGATTAGAAAACCCTGTTGTATTACTTCTTTCTAGTAAATGTCTAACTACTATTCTCTCCATATAGACACAGCCCACTCAGAAGCGGGGTTGGTAAATCTCCCTCAGAGACTTACCTCAGCAGAGAGGAGTATAGGAGGGAATAAAAGGTGATACCCTTTGTGCTATGAGCTTTTTGGAAAAAAGAAGGAATAAATGGGCTTTTAACATGTCTAACTTCTACTTTCCTCCAATGATAGCTTATTTAATTAGAAAAGCATTTTTATGCCAGCATGCTGTATTTTTGGATATTGTATCAATCAACATAAATAGATTTAGGTGATGCCATTTCATAATTGGCTGTAGCTAAGGATGGCTGTGAATATCGTTAATACGGTGTTACCTCTAACACTTCTCACATGGTTAAACTCGAAAAACCTTTAAATCCAGTAGCATATGACTTACTCAACTGTCCTATTATTTTTCTAGGAAACAATGCCTCCACCATCACATACTGCATTTTCTGGCCATCATTTACCATTTGTGGGTTTCACATATACAAGTAGCTGGTAAGTTAAGAGTTCAGAAATTATCTGTAGGATAGTTACAGAATATCTTATGTTTATATCTCTGAAACTAGTGGCAAACAGATACCAAAGTATGTGGTCTATTGAGGAAATTACTAGGCCATAATCTGAAATATTGTCTGTCCAAAAGAATGAACTCTCTGCACATGACAAAGTTAAGACCAGATATGTGGACCCAGAGAGAACTCAGCTCATTAGGGTTTAATAAAGGTTTTATTTCTGGTCCTTTGACACTCCTGTAAGTCTGAATGGAAATTTTTTTTTATTACTTTTATTGGTATTTGGTATTAATCATGTTCATCCCTACTGCTAAATTAAACAGTAACAAGGAAGTCCGTGTATAGTCCCTGACCATTTATGAAAATAAATAAAGAATATTTACAACCACTTCAAAAACAGGCCTATGTTTCTGCAAACACGTCACGTAACCAGCATTAAGCATGTGTCCTGTAGACTTCAGAAGGATTATTTGCATCACGACTAGTATGTGTATATGAGTATCCACAGAATTGGGGCCACAGCATTTCTGATATGTACATGCGCTATTTGTCATGTAGCAGTTTTACACCGTTTGTTGTGGTTGTTGTCTTTGAAGCATTTAGGAAATGTGGTTAATGATCTTAAAATAAACTGTTATTGTAATCTTACTATCTAGATTGTTGCTTTTTGCTCTCTGGCGCTCTGTTCATAATGGTCATTTTTAATCAGGAGTTCGTCCACTGTTACGTATCAAAGAATGCATTGAGGAGACCAGTTATGCTAGGTAAAAATTAATTCCGTTTTTAATGAGCTCAAGCTAATAAGGTATTATTTGACTGTGTAAAAAAATTGCATAGTAATTAGCAATGTAAACAACTCTTTATTGGTTGATACATGTTTCTAAATTATTTTAAACCTCCTGTAAAATCCAGTACTTTTCATTTTTTCCCCCCAGCGTACTTTCAGACCGCAGCTGTCTAAGACTGACAGCTGGACCACCCTCCATGGATCTTGATGCCAGCATTCAAAGAACTTTGGAGGATAGTTTAGCAACAGAAGCTTATGAGAGGAGAATAAGACGTCTAGAACAGGAAAAGCTTGAACTCAGTAGAAAACTGCAAGGTATAGTCATTAAAAAAGTCATTCAGTCACTTTTTTGACTTAGGTTAGCTCGCAGCTTTGTAAGCTATGGTTTATACTGTGGAAAAAACCCTAAATATACCTCTGGGAATGCTTTCTAACAGAAAAGAAATCTCTTCATTATTTCCATTGACAAATTAAACTTCTGTTACTCTTTAGGCCTGAAGTATCCCATATATGCGACTTCTTATAACATGCTAACTTTGTATCGTGCTTTGGTTGCTGATGGCATAAAGATCTCATTCTTAAAATCTCTAACAACTTAGTTTGTTCAGCTTACAGTTGCTGAAAAAATGGCACTTAGTTGGAAATTATACATTGTAGAATCCTCAGCGGAGGGTCTTTTGACATGCCTTAATTTATCAGCAATATCTTTTTGGCCTTCTCAGATGTCAGGCATGTCATTTGTCCCTCTCTTCCATCTTTTTCTAGAGTCCACCCAGACAGTCCAGGCTCTGCAGTATTCAACAGTGGATGGCCCAATAACAGCAAGCAAGGATTTAGAAATTAAAAGTTTGAAAGAAGAAATTGAAAAGTTGAAGAAACAGGTAACAGGTATGTTATAAATAAGAATGTAAAAACTGTACCAGAAAACAGTATTTCGATGAGGTTTTTTTCTCCTAATGTAACGCTAGTTTTACTTTGCTTTTGAAAGAGTCTTCCAGTCTATTTTTACTTCTCATTTTACACTTTTGCTCTTCGTTTGTAGCTCAACATTTTCATATTCAACTTAATATTCAGTACTTCAGTAATTCCAGTTGCAAGGGAGAAGGAAGATTTCAGTGACTTCTGCTATTACTATTTAGTGGTAAAGTTTCAGTAGTTTTCAGTTGTGGTGTTGCTAATTTACAAGGATGTGATTCAGGCTGTACCTGAGAATCTATGAAACCACGACCAGTTTCTGTAGTACTTTATTTCTTTTTTTTGCCTTCCTCCTGCACTGTGTACTGCGAGAGCAGATGGAGCACTTGTTTGGATACTTTTGGCAGTACCAAAAGTCACTGCAGCCATTTCAGAAATCATAGTCCCTGTAGCATATCTGAGCATTCCTAGCTTTGTACATCTCTGGTATGCAGGTACATAGGTAGTAAGCTGGAAGGAGGGAGGGTGTTGTTTCTTATGTGAGTGAATATGAGAGGTGAAGACTTTAGCTGAGCAATATTAATAGTCTTGAACATATTTGAGGGAAGGATGCTTTGTTATGATTTAAGCATCAATTGGTATTTTTCATTATCTCATTTTCTGTTGATTTTTTTTTTTCTTGGAAGGGCTGAATTTGTGAAATGTGATTACAATTTTGATTATATTTTCTTTGAAAGCACAGAGCCTTGTAGAGTGTTGTGGCTTAGTGCATTGTAACTAGGCATGGAGTAAAAGCTAGTTCAACTAGAGATGTGGTTTTCTGAGTATATTCCTGGAACAGCACTTCTAAAAAAGCATGGATTATCTGAGAGGTGGACTGTGTGCATGAAACTGCGGTGATACTGCGTTTCCCAAGTGGCAGGGAGTAGGGGAGGTCGTTTTCCATGAGAGAGGACACTAAGGGCTATAAGGCTGCAGTTCCATGAGCAACAGAACTGACCAAAACACTGCCACCAAAATGAGTCCTGCTTATGGCCTGTGTGGCCCCATCTCTCTCTGTGCATGCCCAGACTCTCTTGACTTTAATTCACTCAATTAAACAAAGAACTATCTAGATACAGAGAATTTAATTAACGTATGATCTGATAAATCAGCAATAGGTGGGCATATAAGGAAAGGAGATGGGAGGGGGAAGAACCACCTCTCAGCTCTGCTGTTAATGAGCTATCATTTCTTACAGACTGAATTTTTATTTCCTTTGCTTCTGAGTGTTCATAAAGCTTTTATGATAACTGAAAATTTGCCTGTCGAGTAGCTTGGTACTTTGTTTGAAAAGTGCTTTTGAAATCTGTGCAGATAGAGCAGAATTTAATTAATGTCATGCTGCCATTTTTTTTTTTTTTTTTTAGAACTCCCAAGCTAGTCACAAACCAAAGATCTACTTAGCCCAGTATTCTGTGTCTTTACAGAGGCTGCTGGAGGCATTTAGGGCAAAATTCAGACAAACATGATATATCCAAATCCATGTTTTTCCAGCCTTACTCTCCCACATTCTGGCAATTCATAAGAACTTCCAGGGGGAGAGTTCCTATTGCACCACCGTGTTGAATACAGCTGTTAGTTCTGTCTAACTGTACCTTTTTAGCCTTGTTGAATACAGCTGTTAGTGAACCGATTTTCTGTCTAACTGTACCTTTTTAGCCAACCTTAAAGGCTAGCTACTCACTAGTATTCAGTATTCCTCACTTGGTGCTCCTATTAAGGTTAAAGGGAGTTTTCTCTCACAGTGATGCATAGCATAGGACTTCTGTCCTGCCCTGTAATAGTTTCTTCAGAACAGGATCTTGAGAGCTGAGACATCTTCAGAGAGAAGTAGAGAAAGTACAGTGAGCTGGTTTTTATTTAGGAAAATTAACAAGATTGATAGAGACTGTTAGATATCAGGACTAGAACCATAGGAACAGGGGATGCTAGTCTGATTCCTCTTGTCAATCCAATAGGAAAATGGCTGCATTTTCTGTGAGACAAATATCAGACGCAGGCAGTGGTGGATGTTACATGTCCGTGTCTTACCTGTGGCAAGGGAAGAGAACCCAGTGAGAAAGGTTGGAGGAGACTACAAAAAAAAAAGGGATTTGTCCTGTTTTGTGTTTGTGAAAAGACTTCATTACGTTCCTGAAGGGGTCAGGAACACAGAAAGGATAACTTGAACTTAACTTCCAGACGCTTTAGTTGGTGTGATCAGACTCTGCCGCTGCGTTGCAGGCCGGAAGCAGCTAGGCCTGAGCCGCAGGCTGCAGTGTGCACACTGTGTGCTCTTAAAACTGGGTTGTCTGAAAAAAGTCTGTTCTAGATACACATTGCACAGCTGCTCTGGCGTGATGCAGCAGTTTTGTGTTCTACCATAAGCATTAATTTTGGATGTGAGCGTGGCTTAACTAGCTCGGGCAGGATCACTGTGATTTGAGTGATGCTGTGTTGGCGCTATGTCAGGACAAAGGTTTTTGTGAAGTTTCTCTCCAGCCGAATGTCCCTCCACTTGCTGCTGTAATGAGGAAACAGACAGCATGATCAGAGACTTCTGTTCTGCAGCAACCCTCAGCTCTGGCTCTTTGGGACTGCTGAAAAGCAACGTCTACAAGAACAGCTTTTGAATGGGACCACCCCTTAATGAAAAAGCATCAGGAGCAGCTTTAAATCTTGACTATTGAGCCACAACTTAGATTTTAGTTCATTGCTGAAGGTATCATTCTCTTCCTTTGGTAATGAAAATAAAAAGCCCAAAAAGGTGCAGGGACATTCCCAACGCTTTTCCAATGTAAAAGAGTCAATGTCTAGTGAGGCAGTGAATAGAGAGAAAGTTTTCCCTTAAGTATCTATTAATAATTTTCTGCTTCATGCCACATATATATTTGTATATTTATTCCTAGATACAATATGTGCTTTTGTCTTTTTGGGTTGGAAGTGAATAATGTGATCAAATGAGGAAGATGTGGAGTTGTCTAATCCATCCCCAGTCACCTCGGAACTTTCCCAGTATATACTTGGATGCGTTGTCTGGTCCGGACAATACAGCCATTAGTTAGAAGGCACTCGTTTGTGCCTTGAGTTGTAACTAATAGAAGCTGATTTGATAAAATTGGGAAAAGAGAATGTTGTACTTTGCTTGATTTTTTGTGGTGGTTGATGGGGTTTTTTTGTTGTTTGGTTGGTTGGGTTTTTTTGTGAAATAGATTTTAAAATTAAATTAATGACAGAATCCAGGCACAAACCAAATGATGTTCATGTCTGAATGCTTCCAAATTTAGAGGAGGTAGTTCCAAGTTTTCTGGGTGGCCTCTAAAATACCTATATTTCCAAATCTAGATCTGATGAACTCTCTAAGAAGGTTCAGTTCAGGTGCAGAGCTGAACTTTGTGCTTTGGGCTCATCTCTTGTGCAATTAACTGGAGTGTAATGACATCCTACAGTGAATGTTTGCATATATTAGCTAAAATGTTAGCAACAACTTGGGTGATTAGATGGAAAATTACCATTTACTACACATATGTCACAACTAGCTTTTGGTTATATCCTTTAACCTGTTTTACTGCCTTTTCTGGAGCTGTAAGAATAAACACCTGCTTAAAAAGGTAATAAAAACCGAACACAAAATTGTGTCAAATTCAGGAGTGTCACCGGGGGGACCTTACAAAAAACCGTTTTTCTTGCCTATCTAGTTTTGCAGGAAATGACAAGCTAGCATATGCTTTCAATTTTTGAGGTCAAAGTTATAATTTTTGTTCGCTAAGTTACACAGGAGAAAACTTTGAGGAATCTTTAATATTGCCAAATATGTAAAGGGCAGCGATGGAAGAAGAAAACAGAGCTGTGGAACAAAGTAGCTCATGCACGGAAGAGAGATTTATCTTGGCTCAGCAGAGCCATATATAAATTTTCTTTTTGCTGGTGACTTCAGAGTAGACTGCATAAGAGAGGCAGTTAATTTCTGGCTTTGAGCTACATCTCTTATTTAAATGCTTTCTTTTAAATTCTTAAACAAGAGTCAATGAGTTAAAACAATAGTGAATATTTGTCTGGGTATAAGCTAATGGTATTCATTTGCTTATAAAATTCTCGTGTTTCAGAAATTACAGCTCTTAGAAATGTGTGTGTGTTTATATTTGATTTCTCCAAGAGCCAGTCTCTTAGGGTTGCATTTATGAAAATGTAGTAATAGGCTCTTATTAAGAGCATAGATGGGTTCCTGTTCTGTGGGTAAAGACACATGGTCTGACCTGCCACAACTGATGTCAAAGGCAAAATGTCCAGTGATTTCATAGAACTTGGAATTAACCTTCCTTCACCTGTATCACTTGCTAAGAAACTGAGTGCAATAGTTCTTCTGTATTTATAGTAGTAATGAAACAGATCACACAAACACAAGTGGTTTTCACACTAGAAATAAGTAAAATCATCTGAAGTTAATTTTAAATGTATCAACAGGAGAATGCTTGCCAGCTCTGCAGTGACACGTTACTATTTGTTTCTGAGGGAGCCTGGGGGTAGGAGAGAGACTGTTTATAATTACAGTGTAATAAAAGGTGCATTATATAGTACATCACAGTGCATAAAAGTAAAATGTATAGGTCATGTTAAAGCATACATTACAGAATTATGTATAGTGCATGATTATTACAGTGTGAAAAGATGAGTTGTTATCATTTTCTATGTTGTTGTGCAGCAAGCTGTGACCTTTTATTCTGCTCCGTTAAAAGCAGATCATGGCAGTTGAAACAACCTACTCCCTATCCCGAACCAGATAAGATTTGCATTGTTTTGTGATTAAATGGAAACCACAACTAGTACTAACGGGACTGCAAGCATCTAGGCTATCTTATTCTGGAATAACTGTTTTTACCGTAATACTCAGAAGTCTGCTGCTTTTTCTTAGATTCTGGTCAGCTAGAACAGCAACTCGAGGAGGCCAGCACTGCAAGGCGGGAGTTGGATGATGCTTCCAGACAAATAAAGGCTTTTGAGAAACAGGTCAGAACACTGAAGCAAGAGAGGGAAGATCTTAATAAGGTAAAAGCATTTTGTCAGCAACTCTTCCAAACCCTAAAGACTATTTTATTTTTGTTCATTTTGCTTTGAAAAACTTTCAGGTGTGAAGTTAAGGAGCAGACAGCAAATGTGTAGTACAGCCTGCTTTGCTTTCTGCATTTTTTGAAGGAAGGGACATTATTTAACGAGTTGTATATATGACTCCTGGGTGGTCCTAGGTGACTCTTCCAGGCAGTGAACAACTCCATGATCCAAATTACATGTGGCTGCAAGGAAGGTTTCCTAGCTTCAGATTAAGGTGATGATGATAGCGTTAGAAAACAGGGTAGAGAAGAAATACTCCAGACAATCCATTTAATCTGAAGGATGGGTGAGACTGTAGCCGGGAAAAAACGTTAAGAATGTGGGATTAAGGCTGTGTCACAGAAGTGTTTCCAGAAGAGAGATGTGAAATACTGCCCAAATATGAAGATTGAAAAGTAATTTGAAATGATAAAGAATACTGGGGTTTGTTTCTTCTCTGTTTCCCCAATTCCTTGTTTTCTTATTTATAATGTACTGTCTTTAATGGCTTTTTTTTTTTCTATTGATGGTTAAATCAACCTGTAATAGAGTGTGAAGGAGATCAGCCTGTTTCTTATCATGATTATATTGGCAGAGTGTTGCAGAGTCCACACTCAGTGTTGATGTGCCAGCTGTATTTAACGCTGCTTCTTTTAACCCTTGAGGCTTTGAAAACCTGGAAGCTGCCAGTTTGTCCAAGACGACTATCTCTCTTCTAAGACAACTTGTAGTGATTAGGACCTCTTTATAACAACCTTAGAGAATGCTTTTAGATTTGCATAGATGTCAGAGTGCCAAATATTAATTCTTCCTGCCACTCTTCATTCTCCGACTCACTTTCCCTTGTTTCTTTGTTCTGCTCTGGTTTGGCTGAACGTCATTAAACCATTTAAACTGTTGTGGTCCCTCATTCCTGGTGTAGTCGCACTGATCTAGGACACAGCAAGCCTGGTGAAGGTGCTGTGCTGTAGAGCTGTCACAGCACTAGCAGTGTTATTTCATGTGGGTGCTTTTACAAGAATAATTATCGTACTTTGCTGCTAATCACCACAGTGTTTTGTTGCCTGAAACTTTCTGTAATATGTGATATGATGGTACAGTGTGTGGAAATCTCACTTGCCGCTGCAGGTCAGTTTTCAAAAGCTTCTAACGCAGAAATTTTCATGGAGCAAAGTTTTCCATTCAATGAATACAAAACCTTTTTTTCATCATTTAGCAGTTGAGATAAGTACCATTTTTTCATTTAAGTAGTTCTTGAAAAAATATGCTGATGACATTTTGTAATTAAGAAAGGAAGGTATTTTTATATTTTAATGCAAGTGTTTGAAAGCCTTTGTGTTTAACTTATAGTAATGGAGTGAATTCCTACTTGGTTTACATTCATGCAGTTTTACTAACGTTTCGTAGTGTAAAACCTGGCCTCTTTCCTTATTTATAGAGTGATACAATCTGTATCGTAGATGCATTCATGGGAAGAAATGAATGTGTAGTTTCTATTCACTCTGCAGAAGGTGTTAGATGCTCATCCAGAGATAGAATTGGCCTTGCAGCTTTCTAGGTTTATTACTTAATTCTTTTTTTAAACTGTAGGAACTGGCAGAGTCTAGTGACAGATTAAAATCCCAAGCCAAAGAGTTGAAAGATGCGCACAGCCAGCGGAAATTGGCAATGCAGGAGTTCTCAGAGATGAACGAGCGGCTGACAGACTTGCACTCTCAAAAACAAAAGCTTGCCCGCCAGCTCCGAGATAAGGAGGAAGAAATGGAAGTGGTGATGCAGAAAGTAGAAAGTTTAAGGCAAGAGTTACGCAGAACAGAGAGACTTAAAAAAGAAGTAAGTGGTGAGAATACTGTTTAGAATCTATGAAACTGTAGTTATGTGTAAGGTTTTCTGACAAAGTAATTTTTTGTGTTATCTGTAAATCTTTAACTCTTTCGATGTTGTTTCAAACAGTCCGAGTTTTGTTTTCTACAATTCGAAGTGTTCGGTTCAGTGCTGAAGATTTATCTCTTTTTGTTGAAAACCATCAGTAGGTTTTGAAAGAAACATTAAAAATCCTACCTATTAAAAACGTATGTACTTTTGTAGCTGGAAGTCCAAGCTGAAGCCGCAGCCGCTGAGGCATCCAAAGACAGGAAATTGCGAGAGAGGAGCGAACAGTACTCTAAACAGTTGGAAAGTGAAGTAGAAGGGCTAAAGGTTAGTCTGTTTTGATATTAACACCTGCAAACTTACTTGTCAGCTGGGGCTTGGATCTGTTTGATTGCTTTCAGATGGAGGACAAAAGGGTGTTGTCAGTTTGTCACCCCAGTTGATGCTGAATATTAATGCAAGCATGCATCGCGTTATTGTCCAGAAAAATAAACATGCCCCTGATGTATTTTTCAGGCCAGTGTGTTCTCTGCTCACTGAAGTATTAATACTCGATGACTTCTTATCAAATTGCTTCCATTATTAGGTGGTTTAACTTGACCTGTTAAAAGCATTTTGGTTTTTTTTTTTAATGTAGGATGCTTGAGCATTTGAAGATAAACCTGCAGCCCGTGCAGGTTTTTGTGTAGGTTTTTGTGTACTGGTGTTGTTCCTCAGCGTGTCAGTCCAAAGAAAGATGGTTTCCCCCACAACAGATGTCAACTGATGCAACTGTAAAGGAAAAGTTTTAGTGTGTTCTGCCTCTCGGCCAGAAGCTGAGACATTTTTGCCCAAGAAGAGCATTGAGGGTGAAGACTGTTTATATTGACAAGATTGCTCACACGTGTCTGTGTTTTTAGGACCAGAAATTTAAGTAGGCCAAGAATGTTAACTGTTACTTTATTCTGTGATTTGGTGTTTTATATGGAGCTCTGAAGAAATTAAACTCTCTCAAAACTTGAATGAGAAAGTTTTTCATTTCTGCGTGAGGAATGCTGTTCATTTACAGCAAAATCTGTGCCCACTGTTTCATCCAGTAGAATAATTCTAAACTTTTTGTGTAGAATGTCAGATTAGGCCTATTCTGGCCTTAATTTACCTGAAAAACAAGGGTGTTTTTTATTAGAATTCTGTGGGACATTTGTCAACATGAAGTCACTGCACAGAAAATTAGGGGTGTTTTTTTGCAAACCTTCTTTTATTTTGCCTTCTTTTGTTAAATGAAAGTAAGGATATCCATTCAGTATGAAGTTTGGGTTTATAAGGTTTGTAATCCTGTGAATTCAGATCGCCATCTGAAAATTACGATGTATTTCTTCTGCTTTCATGGATCTTCACCATCAGCACAGGGTTTGTGTGACAGTTTAAGAGGCGAGAAGAATTTATTGAAGATCTACTGGGAATAAGTGATCTGCTGATTCATAACAAATGGGCAAGTTCATCAGAAGAGGAGAGGGCACTTGTAGCTTTCTTAGTAATATTTCACAGTACAGTAAGCTCGCTTTGGATCACATGCAGTTGTTGTGATACTGCATTATCCATTCAGTAAAAGATCTGCATGTCTCCTTAGTTAAGTGCAGGAGGCTGTCAGAGAGAAAAGGTCAATATTTAAAGGAAAAAGGAAGTATTCTCCAAATGGGGAGAGTGGAAAAGTCTATAATTGATATCAGGTTAAATGTAAACAGGATGTTGAGGGCTAACAAAAGAGAATTTAGAGAGCACTTTGCAAAGGATGCTCAGAGTGATTGTGGGAAGTTCTTTAAGTCAAAAGCAGAATGCCACCTTAGGAAACCCATGAGGCTGCTTGTTGGCAGGGATGAAAAAGGTAATCTCTGAGTGGATAGGGTTGTGTAGAAACACCCAGTGAGTTTTTGCTGTGTCAGACTTTACTGCTGGAGCAGGGGCAGTTGCCACACGGTGCATTCTTTGCAGCTGGTCAGTCAGATGAGCTCCATCAGTCTGAGGAGGATGTACAGGAAGCGTTAGAGCTGGGAAGTGAGTTCAGATACGAAATCATCCAGAGCAGTGGCCTCGCTGAGGGGGTTGGTTCTGAAGGAACTCAGGTGAGAAGTAAGAGAACTGCTGGCCAGAATGTGCACCCTCCTATTACATATGGCTCCCTGTACCACTGTAACTCTCATCCAGAAGATCCTAGGAACTGCAGAGGAGGGAGTGTAACTTCGTAGGAAAGGGGTAGAGGCTGTAGTAAAGAATCAGGTCAGTGAGCTCATGGGTGAAGCAGAGCCTTTTGGGAAGAAAGCTGTACAGAAGGCACACTTCCAAGTCCTGCAACGCTGATCTGCTGGGGTTCTGTGAAGTTGTGTGGACAAAGGAGATCCAGTGGATGTCATGTATTTGGAATTTCAAAAAAATCAGGCTCAATATCTGGCAGCAGTGTGCCCTGGCAGCCAAGAGAGCAAACAGGATCCTGGGGTGCATCAAAGAGCATCTAGCTATCTATGTCCCAGGAGATGGATTATGTCTCAGTGGCACCATTTGTCTGCTGGAAACAGGCATTTATGAAAGCATCTATTTGGAATTTGTGCTTACATCAATTTAAAATACACTCTCTTTACTTTATTACTCTAGCTTTGTAAGCCACTGTACAGTACCATCCAGCCTTCTCTTCTACTGCATCATCTGTCTTGGGCTCTTAATAGTATGTGTTCATTGGGGGAAAAAAATATGAAATACCACTAAAACATTTTATGTATCTGATAGATGATACTGCAAAGCCTAAACTTTTAATGTGCTCCGTTGCCATGTATGTGTAGGCAATTCTGCATGTTGGGCAGTAACAAGTTCAGTAGTTAACTGCCTGTGCAGGAAAGAAAATTCCCATACTTCCTTTTGTTCTTTCTTTCTTTTTTTCTTTTAATCTTTCTTTCTGCAAACCATCTGCTGTTTGGATTGCATCGTCTTTCTCCAGTGTACCACCCGGCATTCTAAGGGCAGGATTTTACTCTTACATCAAACCAGATGGTCATTTTGATGAGTTAGAGAAAACAGCGTGGTAGCAGCACAGAACTGGCTCATCCATTTAGGGAGTTTTGTAGTGTTCTGGTGACACTAACAGGAAGGGCCCAGCATTCTCGTAGAAATTCAGCTCATCTGTATGTTCTGCAGTGACATTTAGCTCTTGAAGTGTATTCATACATCAGCAAACAAAAATTACCCAAAGCCATGTTTAATTAATGGTGACTGAATGTTAATATCTCATGGTAAGAATGGAGGTATAATTAACAAAATATCTTCGATCCTCCTAAATGTGTGAGACAGTCACCGTAAAGCAGTAGGTTTTCCAGTTACCTGTTCTTTCTCAAAAGACAGTGTTTTTATTAAGGAACTTCCTTTCCTTAGACTACATTTAGTTACATATTTTAAAAAATCGGAAAAATTCCAAGCCAAGTTACACGTATGATTACATGAAAAAGTATTTCCATACTTGGATTTCAGTGCATACCATGCCACTCTCTCATTTTGAACCTGATCTTGCTCCTCCTCGATGTTATGGCAGGACATTGAGTGTAGTGAGTGCAGCATTTGATGCAAATGTGAAAAGACTGTTGAAATGCCAGAAGACCTCATTGAGAGCGCTATGCAGCTGCAAAAAGTGAAGCAGTTACTCTTACTGTTTAAAGCTTGTTTGTCCTATGAAACCACCATGCTGTAAATGGTCAGTCTGAGTATAATAGGTCAGGTTTCTCTCCTGACTGATGCAATCTATCCATATAGGGTTTCTGTAGCTAGATTTTAGCCTTCAATTAAGCCTTTGCTTGTCTTAGTATAGCTTTTCCACAAATTATTTGTGCTTTAAAATACATGGACTGTATATCATAGTCCTTGTTCTGCATTTCAGAAAGTCACTTGAAGTTGTTGCAGTCAACTGTGTGAGTGGGAGCATGAAAATGGTCTAATCCTATTACCACCTTCTGACTGCGTGTAAGGGGGGTCAGAATGTGGCCAAGGATGTTTAAAGTGATGATCAAATTTTTGATGGCTTGAAAACATATTACTGCATTTAAACCACAAAATGAGAAAGAGTACAGTTCGGATTTTAATAAATTTCCAAATAAACTGAGATAGGTGTGTTTAACTCAAGTCTGTAATGGGATATTTTTTAAGCACAGACTTATGAATATTGAGTCGTTATTAAGTGTTATTTTTCAACATTCTTGAGTGCTAACTTGAAGCTCTTTATTTTAGCAAAAACAGGTTGGTCGCTCACCTGGTGTAAGCAGTATAGAACACCAGCAAGAGATCACTAAATTAAAGGCAGACCTGGAAAAGAAAAGTGTTTTCTATGAAGAGGAGCTATCTAAACGTGAACTAATGCATGCTAATGAAATAAAAAGTCTGAAGAAAGAACTGCGAGATGCGGAGAGCCAGCAGCTTGCCCTCAAGAAGGAGATCATGATTTTGAAAGACAAGTTGGAGAAAACCAGAAGAGAAAAGTGAGTATTGTATGGAATTCACCTCCAAGCTCAAAAATCTTTTTGACGTCTCTTAGTGCATTTCCAAACAGACTATCACTTCCTTAGTTGTAGTGCAGTGCATTTTGGCTGAGCTGATGCCAAGGTTGAAAACAGTCACCTTTGATACATAGTAAATAAATTATTTTTATATATAATCACATAGAACAAAAAATAAACAGAACAAATCCCCATCCCTGTGCTGAAACAATTTTGCACCAGAATTCTTGCACTAGCTGACCATTCCAAGGTGTGTAACTTGAGTTGCAAACTTGCAGTGCAGGGTAAGTTGACCCCTGAAGCTTATGTTGCAGTTTAAAATAGTTTTTTGACATTATTTTCTGTTTGGTATTTTCATCTTTTGATGCAAAACTAACGTGTTAGAGATCAACTATTGTTTACATTTCTGCCAGCATAGGAACAGCCACTTAATGCGGACTAGGGCTAATCCATGCTGGGTTCCATCCAGCGTTAACATCAGTCATCGGACTACTCTAGGCATAAGCTGCTTTATCTCTTCTGACATGGTAATTTGTCAGAGACCTGCTTTTCTTCTATCCCACGTGGTGGAGCTTATAACCCGCCTTGAGAATGTTCCTTGAGGCATTCGTCAATAAAACCAAGTTTTTCTGTTGAATAGTGAAGTAATGGAAATAGACATAAATTGAATGCGTTCGTTTTCATTCATAAAACATTAAGAATGCTTTACAGACACCAATGTAGATGCTGCTTTTTGCTGCTGTAGCAAGATGGTATTAGAAAAACCATGGAGAAGCTCCTGCTAAAAAAAGTCTGTAAATATAAGTAGTAAAGAAAATACAGATTTTTTAAAAAAAAAATTTTTTTTTTTTTAAATCTTATGCAAACAGAGGTGGAAACACTGCTTGTACGGTAAATTGTTTCCAGCAGGGAAAGTAGATCATATAGCCTAGAATGGAGTGGATGAACTGTTTCTTCCTAGAATGCAGCTATTCATAGGCTGCACGTACTAACACAGTAGTTTGCTGCTTTGTTCCAGGTTGAGAGGTAAAACTTGCATCACCAGCGTGTTTTCATTGTACCACAACTTAATGGTTTTGCTGACCCAAGAGTTATAAATGCACAAAAGGCTCTGCTGCCTTGTGATGTTCAAAGGTGGTGGTGTGATACTCCTTTAGTGCCATGTTAGTCCAGGAGTGTCAGAAGGAGGAATATTCAATAAGGAATCATCAATGCCCCTTTCTGCAGGCTAAACTGTTGCTAAGGTCATACCTTCAAACACTGACCAGACCAAAAACTCCTTGGAGATGATCAGAACCGTTCTGTTGTTGTGCAGCTGCGGAAGTTCTGACTAGATGTCCGACCAGTGAAATAACAAATGGCCTAACAATGCTCATCTGCTGCACGCTGGCCAGCTCATAAACCTTCTTTCCATCTACTTTCTCTCTGTAAATAACAAAAGAACTGGATGCAAACGTAAAATGAGTGCTGATGTAACCACGTGTTATGTAATGTATTTCAAGTGTTGGCATAAGAGAACATTTTAAAGCATGAACAGAAATGTGTCACGTAACCAGTATCCAACATTTGGCTCTTAATGAATGGCTTCAGCACCATATGATGTCTGTTGTCCAAGCCCATGATGAGTCGTTAATAAAAACCTGATCTTAAATGAGTTTTGTTATGCAGATCTGCAAGTGTTAGGACTCCACAGAAATGCAGAAGTCAGCTGTTCAAGGTGTGCTATGGATTGACTTCTATAGGAGATAAGGATTTAGGAGGGAAGCTTAAATATTAGCAATGGAACAATTACTGTTGCTGCTCTATTTTCAATATTCGGTAGTTTTTCTTAAGACAAAATGGATTTTTTTTTTTTTCTGCTTACACATATTGTTTCAAACTTTTGTAATCAAGCACGCAAAGCTTTTTGTGAATTTTCCAGTACAGAGGTGTTCAGGGTAAGCATGGAAAAGGGAACACCTGGAGGCTTTATGCTGGAATAAGTGGAATTGTTTCCAAAATAGGCATGGGGTGTGGGGTTAAAGGGTGCATATACAGTTAGGCAAAAAATTGTAGTAGTCTAAAAAACCTTAGTGTGTAGTTAAAAAAAAAGCTGTGGTAAGAGGATGAGGTTGCATTACTTCCTAAGTATAGAGTGAGTTATGTAGGTTATTGTACACAAGGGTCAACGAGAGCTTGGTCAAAATCTGCGTGTAATTTTTTTGTAACTTGACGTTGGTGATTTCTGTCTCTTTTTTTTTAAATAGGTATATTTTTCTTTATTTCCTTCAAATTTAAGCCTTCTTATTTCTGCTAGTTCAACAGCATAAGTCTTCAAGGGAGCCAAACTACCTTTCTGTACAAAATGATTGCCTTTTGTTAGTCTCATAAACTGCAGGCCATTAAAATTGGGAACGTAGAAATACAGGATCAGGACGGTGATCTGTGTAGCACGATGTTCCATTTCTTAGAATTGTCATCGTGAAATATTTCAGAAGAAGGTGCAAGAAACTGTGTAAAACAAATTGTGTGTAGAAGTTTCTTTCAAACCATCATTTAATGGTAGATCTATAAAGCAGAGCGCTTTATAAAAGAGCGTTTGCTGTTCTTAAATTGTGTGATATAAAGAAGCCTGGGGGCTGGTGTTTGTTTCAGGTCTACTTTTCTTGCCTTCAAAGCAGGAAGGTAAAATATTTCTCCACTTCGCACGGCCGCACTGAAGAGCTGGGTGATACTATAAAGCTGTATTTCGCATTGCTTCCATGTGGTTTGGTACAGTTATTTTACTCATAAAAAGAAAGCTGGATCATGTATAATGTCTTAAACGTGAATGGATACATAGCTAAGTTTTAGATGAGAGAAAAAGCTCGATGGGAGAGGAGGATGCTAGGCTTCAAAGCAAATGCATTATTTTGATCTTCCTGGCTGTCCAAATATGCCTATGGAGTCTGTCATGCTTCTGCGGTTTGCCGGGTTGATATTTGGGTGTGATAGATTATACCCACGTTCTTCTCTGCTTAAAATTCATCTTTGTTTCTGTATTATACTATAGCAATCTGACTTACTGGCTTAGTGACAATCACCAGTTGTATTAAGAACATGAAATACAGAAAACGACAGATACGTTGGCCGCCTTTACCAATTCAAAGCTTCCTTAATCCACCACCATTTATGGCTGCTTTGAGCCTTAAAGCCTTAAAAGAAGAAGTTTTAGACAAATACAGAATAAACAACCCAAAACAGAACCATAAAACCATAAAAGCTAAATAAAAGAAATAAATCAAGAATTAGTTCGGTCTACTGCCTGAGAAATTAGCTTTGAATCTGTGCCTTGCAAACAGAAGCAGGACCTGCTATTAATTCCCCTGACAGCCAATGCTTTAATCTCTTCCTGCCTTTTCCCTAGGCTGCTCATCATATGCATGGAATCCGTTGATATAGAAAAGGAGTGGTGGTGAATTTCAAACTTGGCATTTCAACAGTAACAATAGTATGTTACTTTACTAGGATGTAGTGTTACGTTTCAAAGGATGCCTAGCAACATAGAATTTCACCATGACTCTAACACGCTGTACTAGATTTCAAAGAGTGGTTGAAGCACTAAATGAATTTCAAATTAGGAATAGGAAATTCAAACCAGCATTACTCTTAACTGGGTTCACTGTAACCACTGACACTTCTCATTTTTTAAGTCTGTTCTCTCAGTTTGGCAGCTGTAGTAGTTCTGCATCTCCGGGAAAGAGGAATTTCTCTGATGCACGATGTAAAATTCTGATTAGTATCTAGAAAAAAAAAATGCAGTGCTCAAGACAACGTTTCCCCTGGATTTCATTTTTACAGAGTTAACTTTTTCTACTGGGCCCTTTTCCAGACGTTTTTAAGCCTGGATAGGCTTTGCAGCATGGAATTTACTGTATCTGTGGTATTTATAGCACAGTTCCATCAACCTGTTGATGAACTTTGTGCCAGTTAGGTGAATAATTGGTGAAACGCTGAATGGAAGGTGCAAATGTAAGGAGTCTCCAAAGACTGGATGTGAGGGGGGCGTTAGACATCTAAAGCATCACCATACACTGCTTTGAGGAAATTTTAAGGGTTTTTTTTGGCAAACAGAGGACCTGCACCTTCATTGTTTTTGTTTTTGTTTTTTTTTTTTCTTTAGATTCTCCTATTCATTGGGCATGATCAAAGTTGATGTTAAGGAGAATCAGCCAGGGGTTCTCCTCTACTGAATGACATCCACAGGGGAGGGGAAGGGAAGGTTTTGGGGAAACAGCTACTTTTAAACTCTTTCTCAGAAAGAGTGGTCCAAACCTGCTCTAGAATCTGGTGATGCTAGGGCTGTATAGGTTTTACATCCACTTTTTGCTGATAGTAAGTATATGGTACCTGAATTAACAGTTTGAATGTGTCCTCTGGCTGTTCAAAATTGTCCAAAGACTAGCCCATATAAGCTTTTCTCATCAGACACCCAGCCCCAAGTGCTCTAGTTTAGCTTTTGTACGTTCTGGTTTCATATGTGGTCATTTTTGCGTGTCATTCTGTGTGGAACTTGGAATTATAGAAATGTCTAAGTCAAAACCATGTTTCTGTGAGCTGAGAATTTACCCTGAGCATCTCAGAATATTGACACGCACTTCAATCTGCAGAATTACAGCTGCTCAGTGTTCGAAGGACTCATCTAAAGATCAAAATATGTGTAAGTGGATTGATAAACGTTGGCTCAGTGGAGCTCGATAAATTCCGTACTGAAGGAAATAGCATTGTCTAATGATAAAATTCATCAGACCCTTATAGTCCTAAGATGGTGGTATAATACATTAATTGCTTAGTTTTAATGGGCTGTGGCATTAGCAATGTAGTACTTTACTGTCAGCAGTGTGTGCATTGATCTTTATGTATTTAAGTGAAGAGGAAACTTTCTAATTCTACTTCATATTATTTCTTAGCCAAAGTGAAAGAGAGGAATTTGAAACTGAGTTCAAACAGAAGTATGAGCGAGAAAAGATTCTGCTAACAGAGGAAAACAAAAAACTTTCAAATGAACTTGATAAGGTAAGTGCTCATTAGTTTAGTTCTGAGTTTACAACTATTGCATGCTCTGTACAAATTGGACTGTATAGAGCTGAATTGTTTCTTATTAACTCTTTACTAGCAGCAGAAATGAATATTATACAGAAAGTGATGATTAAATAACGTTTGAGTTGAACAGGGAGTATCTACATGCATCTGAACTTGAGACTGTGTGCACATATAAATATGCACATATATATGTATTTATGTATAGGAATTGACTTGAGATGGTCTTATAGTTGCTAAGATTAATTTTAGGCAATGTCTTAAGCCAAAAGGTTATTTCATCGTATGACCCAAATATAAAAATACGTAGTTAATGATGTGATTAGAGTATATTTGCATGACAATTACTGTGAAATAGCAAGGCCAATCCCACCCATTGAGGTTAAATGTTACTTTGAGATATTAAAAAAAAAAATACAAATGATAAGGCATATTAATTAAAGTGTGTTGAGCAAGGAATAATTATGCCTCATGCATTTAGATTATCTCTTTATTGTTCATTTTGACAGGTTATTCAAGTTCATTGTGGATTAGGCAAGTCTTGCTAAACTTGTCTATTCTTTTTGTAATGCATTAGATTTTCTAAAATTATGATGAAAGTACAGTGTTCTTCAAAGTCAGCGTGTTTGCGTGGCAGTGTTCAAGCTGTATTTTCATACCAGTGTTTGCGTGGCAGTGTTCAAACTGTATTTTCATACCAGTGTAAGACACATACTGTATATGCCTGTGTGTTGGCTTAGTCCAACAATGAGAGACCAGTCACTTTGATACTTTTCCTCCTCTCTTTTCTTTTTTTTTAATTTAGTTAGCTTTGTATTTTTCTTGTCAAGTGAATTTAATAAATAGACATATTTAAATCATAAGCCCATTTAAATGGTAAGTATGGAGTGGAGTACTCAGGAGTAAAAAGAAGAATAGATAAAATGCTGTTCCCTTTTTTTCATCATTCTGATTTGTTAACATATTTCAGTACTAAAAGAAGCCTTTTGCATGAGATTCATTTTCCTAAGCAGGCCTTCCTATAAAGTCTATCTGGTCTCCGATTCCAGTTTGACTTTCTGAATAATTATTTAATATAATGAAGCTCTAGCTCCCCGAACCAACTCAGGTTGGCTGTGGCTTTTGTCTTGCAGAATGTGCCTGTATGAGTGACAGCTGTGTGAATGCGAGAGGTTAATTGCTAGGTATAATGTATTATACTTACATATGTTCGGTTAATTTTAATTTCCCTGTCTGAAAGTAATTAAATAAAAAATAAGGGAATGTGAGACACCTGGAGAAATCTCGGGACTGACTCACCCCTGTATCTGTTAAGCCTCTCACTCTCCATGGTTACTAAACAAGGGAGAGGTTCGGCAGTTTTATCTGAGCTATAACCGTTTTTGTGACCTTGCTTTGCTCTTGGAATGTAGTTTGTTCTATATAGAATATTCTCCACCTATACGGTGCAACGCAGAAACCGTCTAAGAGTTGTAGAGGTATTTGGAGACTAATTTTCAGAAAACTAATTAATTTGTTAAAGTAAAAATGTAGTTCTAGTCCATAAAAACAGCATTTCAGTACAGCTGAGGTTATACATGAGAAGAGATTGTGCCTTTTGTTGTTACATGGTGTTTGTTGTGATGGGTGGTACCAGTGTTTAAAGCAGACGCACGATGTGGGAGAGGGGAGCGTGGCTTTGAGGCTGCACAGAGATGGAGTGGCAGCAGCTTACACTTCTAACAAGTTGTTTAAATTCTCCTTCAGCTCACTGCCATGTTCGAGAGGCTGAGTGTGAACAACCGGCAGCTGGAGGAAGAGATGAGAGACCTGGCTGATAAAAAGGAGTCCGTGGCTCACTGGGAGGCCCAAATTACTGAGATCATCCAATGGTGAATATTGTGCTCTGGTGTCGTTGCAGAATCCCCTCAGTATGTGGCAGGGCTGTTGGGGAGTTTTTGCCTTCGCACACGGCACTTGCAAGTGCTGAGGTGAACGCTCACGCCTGTCTGGGGTTCTGCTGTGGTTTTCCTTGAGATTTTAATAATATGCAAATCTGGAAAATTGGGTTCCTCCTTAAGAGTGAAAGTGTCTTAGCAAATACAACTTTTTTAAGTGCAGAAGAATCATGGCCGCTGGGTGTGGCTTGTGGCTTTGGAAGAATGTTGGAAGGAGTCACGTGCTGAGCTCACGTGTCGGAGAGGGAACAAGCCTGGGAAAAGCGGTGGCTGAGAGTATTTATGTTTCGGCATTAATTTCCTTCATCTGCTTGGCATGTGGCAGAATGAAACAAATACAGTGCAACTTTTTATGTGATTTTCTTCCAAGGAGGGCATTTGAGACTGCCACAAAGCCAGTCAAGGGATGTTTCTAATAATAATTTTTGCTAAATAATAACGTTACGTTTCTAAAGTCTTCCATCCAGTTCTAACAGATTAAGGAGAAAAAAAAAAAAGAAAAAAGTTGAAACTATTAAGAGTGAAAAGATTGTTTTATCTAGGTGGCCTTTATTTCTCCTCTCTATGCCGGTTCCTCTTCCTTCCTCTGTTATGGTCCATTGCAGTGTTTAGCATCTACAAAAAAAATTTGCATTGAGACTGTTTTTTAACAGTCTCATCCACTCCTGGGAAGTTTTCATCATTATATATAAATTTTTCTGATTTACTACTTGATTATTTCCTCCCCTCACCCCCATTTTTGCCATCTCATGTTAGTGAAAAAATCTAATTTGTTGTGTCAAAACAAAACAGGGAAACGTTTCTTTTAATGCAACGTAGCTTGGTATTGTTGTAACGTCAGTATAATGTTGTTGTCCAAACACAGGGAAGTTTGGCTTTGGAATGTAGCCATGAGAAGACGTAACAAGAAAGAAGGGCTATCCTCGGGGTTTCTGGAAGGGTTTTAAACAGTGTTTGTTAGGTAAAATTATGGAACGCTGATCTGTGTCAAGAAGTCCATAGGGTCTCATGAAATTTTATTCGTAGCAGAGGCTAAAAAATTTAGAGAATCCACTTTGTACATATTCCTTTTAAATCTTTTCTCTCATACCTGTAAGTGCAGTAGATGGCCTGTGTCACAGAAAAAAAACCCCAACAAAATATAGAAGTTGTTTAAAATAACAGTTAATTTCTAGCCAACCAGAAATGGTCGTTCAAAAAAAAAATCAAAGTAACAAGAGAGACAAGTCTATTTTTTCACATTCCGTATTAAGGTAATGCTTATCCATCTTAATGCGCCAATGTAACTAAACCCCATTTTTCAGACTTCCGTGTGAAAGCATTCACAAAACTTGGCAGTTTGGGAAAAAGACAAGTCAGAATTACTTGTGGAATGTTTGACTTAACACTATGTAAAAATGTACCAACAGCCATTAAGAATATCCCTTCTCCAAATTATGTGTTTAATATTTAAAGATATTAAATTTCTTTTAATATTGATGGTTCAGGTATATAATAAAGCATCTTGCACTTATTAGAGATATCACTGGGGGCTTAAAAGAGGTTTAGGATTGAGTTTTTTGTTCTCTCTGACGGTACTTAATGAAGAGAGATCAGGAACATGAAAGACACCATCTTACTGATCCCTTAGCATAATACAGTGTCTTTTAAAAAATATGGAATTAAAAATTAAATAAGTAAGTGAAAAGAAAAAGAAATATAATTACTGTGGGCAAACTTTAAAGGAGATGAAAAAAATCTGGCTTGGTTCCAGTTTTTAATCACTGTATACATCTCCGTTTTCCCTCCCTACTTCTCTCCGCTTATGTTAAATCTTTTTCAGCTATGTGAGGCCTTTTCTTGGCTCCCAGTTTTTCCTATTATATTTAGATTTTCATGTGTTACTACCCAGGTAATCTGGTCACGCCCATCTGCTGTCCTTAGAATTCAGCACTGTGTACTGAAATTAGGTCCTTCTCTGGGGATCTTTTTTGGAACATGGGGTGCTGTATGAAGTATTTAAACATCTACAATAATGATAAAAAATACTAAAAGAGGAAAAAACTTAATTTTGAAGGAGACTAGTCTTATTTAATTAGTCACTAGCCTATGTTTTCCTCAGAAGAATGTGCAGTTTAAATGCATACCTGTCCACCTCTTCTGTATGACAGCAGAATGTCTTGGAGGCAACAAGGTAGGGTAGAGCTCGTAGTCTCCCACTTCAAAACTATCAGGTTTTCCCGTAATATTACTTTAAAATAATGTATTTTGGGTGCATACTTTCCACCTCTTAAAAATGGGCTTTGCCTGCCATCTTTTTGTACGCTGATTCATGAAGGGTAGGAGGCAGTAGATGGAATTAATTACAGGTTTTATAAACAGTTTGCTCAGCTGCATATGGTAGTTCAAGGGATTCGCTTTAGCCCTCTTTTAAGTAACACAAGCCCAAGGAGTCCCTTACTTCCTTTGAGTGCTTTGCCATCTAATAGATACCTCTCTCAGGAAATCTGCCCTACTCTTTGAATCCACGTTTTGGGTGGTTAAGAATGTTGCTTTCTTTGTGACTCCTTGGGCCCTTCTAAATTATTATTTCTTTCAGATTTTATAACTTGTGGCTAATTTTAACAGCCTGTCATGTTCCCTTTAGTTTTTCCCTGCTTTCTTACTGTGCCCTCTTGCATCTTTTTTAGGGCAAATGTACAAAAGCCTTTTTTTTTTTTTTTTTGCTTTTGTTCTCCAACGATGCCATAAATAAAACCAAAATTTTAACACAAACACTTAAACCAAACTTTCATTTCAAATAATGACCCTCACAGATCATTCAGCCTTAATGGAGCTATCATATTGACAAGTTTATATTAGCCAAACCACTCTTCATTCCTTGAAAAGAGTAAGAAAGAATGAGGCTGTTATAGCCAGCTATAAATTTTCCTATGGGAAAGGGAGAGAGATTTGTTGCATCGGAGGTTAATGCAGTCACTTTAAAAGGCATCTTTTAAATTGCCAGGGTACCATGTCTGTTGCAGAAAGGAGGTCGATGGAAATCTTGGTGGTGATTCCCAGAGTACTTGGCAAGAAGCTTAACTTATCAGTCTCTCTGGGAAAGAATCATGTAACCTAATTCTAGAAGTCCTAAGGTAGACAACTAAATTAAACCCCAGGACTAGTACTGTAGAGTCTCTTTTTCTCCTTGCTGATTGAAAAGGAAGCCTGGACAACTAGTGCAAGTGAAGAATTCTGTGTGGCTGAGCATGTTTATATGGATGAGCTAAATCCTACCTGATTTACCTATAGGATGTGAGGCTTTGTTTCAGCTGGCCAGAAGCCATGACTGTTGTTTACCAGAAGATTCAGTTAATATTTTCCTTGTTGACTAGATATTTTTCCAGTCAGCTGTAGTATGGTTGATTTTATCTTAATTATTGATTTCATTAAAAAAAAAAAAACAAACAGGACATGGGGTTTTTTAATAGAGTAAGATGCAGCTTGGCATAAGACCCCAGGACTTTGAGGTCTCCTGTTCAGCAAAAATCTCTAGCCCCCTGGATTCATTTTGTATTGTAAAGTATCCTGGATAGAGAGCCCCAGGGTGTCTGACTTTCCCAACAGCCTGACGAGTCTCGTAGTAGAGAGTAGTCGGTGGTTATTTGAAGGTCGTCATGTTGGCTCCAACCAAAAAGTTTAATTTTACAGGTATTTGTACTACATCGCTGTTCTAGGTTCTTTATAGTTAATAAATTAAGATTGCAAGGGCAATTATGTTATATAGGAAAACAGAGCAGTTATTCTCATCTAAATTTTCAGTAAATTGGTGACTCTGGGTGCAACCTGAAGAACTGTTCTTCCCTTAGGTCTTCTGTTGTGCTTGTTAGGGCTGTCTGTAAGAGGAGGGGCAAGGAGAGAAACATTAGTAAGAGTAACGTTACCATTCTTGCTCGATCTTTTTAAAAAAACAAACAAACCTCCCCAGCAAAACAGTAACCAAAAAAAAAAAATCCAGAGCGCCTGGGTTCACACGATGTTTAATCAGTGTATCTCATTAACGAAAGAACGTTGCCATCTAGTGGACGGCAGAACCGTATCTCAACTCCAAATTGAGCTTTTATTTACTGTCTTAATTTAAGAGTCTGAGGAGGTTCCTTGAACTCAGTATAGATTTTTGCAAAAGAAAAAGAAATACTTTATATGTATGCTTTTATATTCCAGATTTCTGCGTGTTCTGTGGGACATCTCTGAGATTTTGGCATGTGCAGCTCTTCAGCCTTTAGATTCTGAAGGTTCTGTGCATAAGAACTAAATAACTGCAGTGTTTTCTCACTGTCCATAAGGAAGGATCTATATGGCTTGATAAAAATTGACAAAGAAATTGGACATTTCATGTTTTTCAGCTTTAATTAGAAAATTAAAAAAATAAGGCACCGGTTCAATTTTATTTTTTATCTGGCATTGTCCCTTTTATTTGCGAAGATTTTACATGTCATTAAAAATAGAGATGATCAAATGCTGATTCCTAAATCTCTTTTCCCTTCATGCACGTCAGGAAAACTTACTTCCTCTCCTTGGGAGCCTCACATTCTTTTTATTCTTGCTTACACTGTTTTCTTTTTACTGTGTATTTAATTATGCAGCCCCACCTCCCCAAAAGCGTCTTATGCTAATTGTCACATCTTTTGCCCACTCTTATACCCTATGTGGTTTATAAAGGCCAAGATTATCTGTGTCTGATTATCAAAATGTGTCATCCAGAATGTTATGGAGGAAAAAAAGTCGGTATGCTGCTTCCATTGAGCTCTAGTATAGCTTGGGAAAAATAATGACTTGTTAATACCAAAACTCTGACTTGAATAGAGTTGGGACATGTGGGTTTTTCCCCTAGGCTCCTCCCCAGTTTTGAACTAAACGGTAAGCAGGACACGAAGAAAATAAAGCCAAAAGCATGAACGAGTGCTTACTTTTTCATGGTGGGTGTGATTTTATGGCAAATGGTCACTATTTCTGCATTAGTCACCACACTATTAAATCAATCTTCCTTATATAAATCTTAAACTGCGCACCCAGAAGTCACTGCAACCTGCAGATGTTTAGCCCTTAGCTTTGGCATTGTGATCTTGCCCTAAGGCCACTATGGGAAAGCATTTTGGTTCCTCCCTTCCCCCTGGCAGTTCAGAGTATGTACTCTCTGTCTTTCCTGCCTCCTGGTGACTATCTGTAAATCTTTTTTGAAACACTATATTATTTTTATGAATTAAGGGCAAGTAGTACCATTTCCATATGTGCTGTGTGTATGAACCCCATAGTATCACCCAGAGAAATGAACATTGCTTTATAGACATGGAGGGGAATCACTTTCTGCTGAAAGGTCGCTGCAAGGCAAATTCAACCATCTGGAGAGCTCTCATCTCCAGTCCAACATACTCAGTATTACCATTACTAAGGAAAAGTCAGAAAGCAAGGATAAGTTAATTTCCTGAAATAGAAAAAAAAATATTTTCCCACTTTCCTGTAAGCTATTTAAAAGAACTTGAGGATCATTACTTAGAGCCCATCCTGAACAGAGACACCCTCCAGAGACACTAGACCAGGTTGCTCAAAGCCTCATCCAGCCTGGCCTTGAACACTTCCAGGGATGGGACATCCACAGCTTCTCTGGACAACCTGTTCCAGTGCCTCACCATTCTCTCCAGGAAGAATTTCTTCCTTATATCTAATCTAAATCTACCCACTTTGAGTTTAAACCCATTACTCCTTGTCCTGTTGCTACCGGCCCTTGTAAAAAGTCCCCCCCAGCTTCCTTGTAGCCCCTTCAGGTACTGGAAGGCTGCAATAAGGTCTCCCCGGAGCCTTCTCTTCTCCAGGCTGAACAAGCCCAACTCTCTCAGCCTGTCCCCATAGCAGAGGGGCTCCAGCCCTCTGAGCATCTTCGTGGCCTCCTCTGGACTCGCTCCAACTGGTCTATATCCTTCTGATGTTGAGGGCTCCACAGATGGACACAGCACTCCAGGTGGGGTCTCACGAGAGCAGAGTAGATAGGGAGAATCACCGACCTTGACCTTCTTTTGATACTTTAGATATAGCCCAGGATATGATTGGCTTTCTGGGCTGCAAATGCTTGTTGTCAGGTCATATTGAGCTTCTCATCAACCAACAACCCCACGTCCTTCTCAGGGCTGCTCTCGATCCGTTCTCCACCCAGCCTGTACTTGTGATTGCCCCAACCCAGGTGCAGGACCTTGCACTTGGCCTTGTTGAACTCCATGCGGTTGGCACAGGCCCACTTCTCCAGCCTGTCAAGGTCACTCTGGATGGCATCCCTTCCCTCCAGCGTGTCGACCGCACCACACAGCTTGGTGTCATCAGCAAACCTGATGAGGGTGCACTTGATCCCACTGTCCATGTCGCTGACAAAGATGTTAAACAGCACTGGTCCCAGTACCAACCCCTGAGGAACGCCACTCGTCACTGGTCTACACTCAGACATCGAGCCATTGACCACCACTCTCTGAGTGCGACCATCCAGCCAGTTCCTTATCCACTGAGCGGTCCATCTGTCAAATCGATGCCTCTTCAATTTATAGATAAGGAAGTCATGTGTGACAGTGTCAAATGCTTCGCACAAGTCCAGGCAAATGACTGTCAGTTGCTCTTCCCTTGTCCACCGATGCTTTAACCCTGTCATAGAAGGCCACCAGATATTTTGGGCATGATTTGCTCTTAGTGAAGCCATGTTGGCTTGTTCATAATCGCCTCCTTATTTTCCATGTGCCTTAGCACAGTTTCCAGAAGGATCTGCTCTATGATCTGGCAAGGCAAAGCGGTGAGACTGACCTGTAGCTCCACAGGTCTTTGGTTTTTTTATAAAAATGGGGGTTATGTTTCTCCTTTTCAAGTCAATAGGAACTTCACCAGATGACGAGTTCTCAGATATGATGGATAGTGGATTAGCAACCTCATCCGCTATTTTTTTCAGGACCCGCGGATGTATTTCGTCAGGTCCCATGGACTTGTTTACCTTCAGGTTCCTTAGATGGTCTCAGATCTGATCCTCTCCTACGGTGGGCAGTTCCCAGTCCATGCCTTCGCCTTCTGTGACTTGGGTGGTGAGACTTCAGCAGTTGCCAGTGAAGACTGAGGCCAAAACTAACCAAGTCTCCCGTATCCTTCTGGAGAGGGCCCACATCTTTCCTAGTCTTTCTTTTTGTTACCGACATACCAATAGAACCTTTTCTTGTTGCCCTTGATGTCTCTGGCCAGACTCTATCAGGGCCTTAGCTTTGCTAACCTGATCTCTGGGTGTTCAGACTCTTTGTATTGCTCCCTGGCTACCTGTCCTTGCTTCCATCCTCTGTAGGCTTGCTTTCCGTGTTTGAGTTCGTCAGGGTACTCTTTGTTCATCCACACAGGCCTCCTGGCGTTCTTACCTGACTTCCTCTTCATTGGGATACATCACTTAACGGGCTTGGAGGAGAGGATCCTTGAATATTAACCAGCTCTCTTGGGCCCCACTTCCTGACAGGGCTTCATCCCATGGAACTCTGCCAGTCAGTTCCCTGAAGAGGCTCAAATTTCCTCTCCTGAAGTCCAGGGTAACGAGCTTGCTGCCCACCCTCCTCAATTCCATAAGGATCTCAAATGCCACCATTCCATGGTCACTGCAGCCAAGGCTGCCCTTGAGCTTCCCATTCCCCAGCAGCCCCTCCCTGTTGGGGAGAATAAGGTGCAGCATGGCTCCCCTCCTCATCGGCTCCTCTATCACTTGGACAAGGAAGTTGTCATCGACACATTCCAGGAACCTCCTGGATTTCTTATGCCCTGCTGTGTTGTCTCTCCAACAGATACTGGGGTGGTTGAAGTCCCCCATGAGGACCTGGGTTTGTGACTGTGAGGCTGCTGCTATCTGTCCATAGGTCCTCATCCACTCCCTCGTCCTGGCCAGGTGGCCTGTAATAGACCCCTGCTGTAATGTCACCTGTTCCTGCCCTCCCTTTAATCCTGACCCATAAGGTCTCAGTCAGCTCCTTGTCCATCCCCAGGCAGAGCTCCAGGCACTTGAGCTGGACTCTGACATAGAGGGAGACACCCCCTCCTCATCTTCCCTGTCTGTCCTTCCTAAAGAGCCTGTATCCTTCCATTGCAACGCTCCAGTTGTAGGAGCCATCCCACCATGTCTCCATGATACCATTAAGATCATAACCCTGCAGGTGTGCCCACATCTCAAACTTCTCTTGTTTATTCCCCATGCTCTGTGTGTTTGCATTTAGTTTGGGCCCCCAGTAAAGCCGACTTACTGGCTGGAGTGGCTGGAATTCCTTTGTGCCTCCCTCCTGCTGACCTGTGACCCTTCTGCAGGCTCTGGGCATCTCTTGCTGGCCCTGGCAGCTGTCTAACTCCCCTCAGCCTCCCTGGGGTTACGCAGCCTTCTCACCGCCTCCTGCAGCTCAGCCGCTGCTGCAGCAGGTCCTCCACCTGGGCGCACCTTTTGCAGGCAAAATAATACCTGAGGCAAAGTGAAGAAAGAACCTTCTGCTGTGATTAAGTGCAGAGAGTTGTTGCTTTGGGTTTGAGGTTTGGGGTTTTTTTTGGTTTTTTTAATAGTTTGTGACTGATAATCAAAGAATCTGAAAAACAGACATGTCACCTCCTTTATGTCCTTACACTCGCAAAATATGTCTTGATAGACAGAAAGCTTGGGGGATGGAAGAGCTGCTTCTGGCTTATGCTGTTCAATAACATTGGAACTAGACTCTGCCTGTGTAATTAGCATTCCTTGAAATAACATCGCCGCTTGATTCTAACTACTAGTTCTCATAGCCAAATGATAACAGTAAACTGCTAATTCCAATATTATGTGGATAGTTGAATTGTTAATTATTGGTTATAAATTTTCTTTTAATTTGTTCCCTAAAAATAGGTTGAATCCTGAAATGTTTCTTTCCTACAGTCTCAATTTCACGTAGCTGGCATTCATACTGAGACATATATTACTTAGATATGTAGTTCTTCAGTCTTTATTCCCTGTCCTAGTGATGCGTGTTGTTTAGTGAAGCTCTGCAAAGCAGCAAAGGCTTAGTTCTGTGTGGTTTTCTGTAATTTTTTGTTTGTTTCTGTATGTTTTATGATTTTTTTTTTGGTATTCCACTTTTTTTGTTTCTGGTTGCTATTTTGTTGAAGGGACTTTAGGGTTTTTTATTTATTCTTTGGTTAAAACACCTTTTTCATATGTAATTGTTTAGGGTAAGTGATGAAAAAGATGCTCGGGGTTATCTTCAAGCCTTGGCCTCCAAAATGACGGAAGAACTAGAGGCCCTGAGGAACTCCAGTTTGGGGGCAAGAGCTACGGTAAGCCTCCAGTTCCATATGTCAGATCTTTTTTGGTTTGTGTGAATAAACACTAACTTGATCGTTTCCACTGTAGTAATAACCTGCCTGTAGTGGCTGTGTTAGTCAGAAGTTAAACTTCCCTGGAGCTTCCTTTCTGAATAACCGAATAGCAAATTTATTGTTTCTCAATTCATTAAATGCCAGTATCCTTATAGTGAGATTTTATCTATGGTAGTGTTGAAGTAGCTACTTTATAATCATGTGTGAATTTATGAAGAATGTCTATACTTTGGGTCATGAAAGCCTTAAGCTTTCACTTGTGAAATGTGAATGTCCTTTGTAGCTGTCATTGGAACTGAGGCACATCAGAACTAGAATTCACAAAATCTCTATGATTTTGAGATCATGACAGAAGACGTTCATCTTACCTATTTAGTACTTGAGCTTAAAAATGATAATATTGAAAATACTTATAAAATGTTTTTAGATTACTTTGGAATTCATGTACTCTTGTATGATGAACATAGTAGTCTGAGAAAGGTAATTGTTGAAGTTGTTTACATTCCTCATGTTCAGCTTTCTTTCCTCATACTCTTTGTTCTCTCTTTTTTTATTCTTTACCAGGACATGCCCTGGAAGATGCGCCGCTTTGCAAAACTGGATATGTCTGCGAGGTTGGAACTACAGTCTGCTCTTGATGCTGAAATCCGAGCCAAGCAGGCTATTCAAGATGAGTTGAATAAAGTCAAAGCTTCCTGTATCTCTACAGAGTGGTAAGACTGAATTGTTCTGATGGAGATTTACTTCGACACCTCACAGGGGAGTGTCGTCAAATCACAGTTTTAGCCCTCTTGTCTGTCGAAATTTGATAATGAAGGTTATGCCAGTTTCTTATATCCAGACGTGGAAAAAAGACCATCTATCTCTCTTTTCATTGTGTAAGCAGCTGAACACTTACAGGGAGGATTTGAAATCTTGAAGACTTTCAGAGGAGACACTTCTTAATAATATAATCTCTCCTCGCTGTGATAACAAGTTCACGGGCAAGCAGAGCTTGAGTTTCTGTCTTAGCGCATACTCTTTTCCATTCCATTGATAGCTGCTTTGGGTAGCTGACGAAAATCAATTACTGCATACTGATTTGCACAGTAATATGTGGTGATGGAAGACTACGAATTCTTGTATTCCTTCCTCAGATCAACCTGTCTCCTCCCTCTCCCCCCTCAAATTCTGAGTTGAGTGGATGCCTGAGGCAGGGATTAGTAGTAAGACATTCCATTTCTAGTTCTCCAGCTTCAGTCTAGCTCAGAGCACTGACTTGTTTTGCAACTTCAGGAGAGCAGTTGGACAGAGCTGAGGTTCAAGGATTCTATCTATAAAGTGGGAATACCTTGTCCACCTGACGTGTGTGTTTTTCAGGCCAGGTGACATGCCAATAGGCAGCACTGTAGATCCTCTAAGGGCAGGAGAACCAGGGTTTGCTTTGACAGCAAGGATCAGAAGTGTGGTAGAAATGCATATAGCGTTTCTTAGTGGCTGTGAATCAGAAGGCACTGAAGCAACTAACTGTAAAGTAACTGAGAAGAAAAATAGTTCAACGTAATCTATTAGTATCACAGGCACTGTGGATTAACAAAAAAATAAACCAGTTTTTAAGCATAAAAATGCATGTGGTCTTTTTTCCTCATTCACAGGATACCGGATCATGCAATTACTCATAAATTAGAAACACAAGCCTATTTAATGGGTAGACAGGGGCAATTAATTGCTTGCTCTGCTTTTTTTTTTTTTTAAGTTACCAAACTAAACAGGTCCCAGTAGGTTTCTGAATTCATTCTGGCATTTGATGACATCATGAAGCTTACTGGGCATTAATTTTTAAGTAGTGTGCAAAGGTGGACAAAAAAGAAAAATTGACTTGTATCGTGGGTTCTCAATATTTACATGGGGTTTTTTTTGTTTCCATTCTTTTGAAGTAAACTGCAAGAATCTGAGAAGAAGAACATGGAGCTGTTGACAGATATTGAGAGGCTGAAAAAGGAGACGGAAGAGCTTAGATCAGAAAAGGGTATGGCAACTGATATCCAAGTAAATAACATGTTTCACGTTGGTGGGTACATCTTATCGATCAAGTGTCACCGTGCAACTGAAACACTATGCCAACAGACTTTGGCATACAAAATGTGACCTCAACAGTTGCTCATTAAGATGTACCCACCGCAGTTGGGTTCGCACTTCTAACGTGTACTTGTAATACGCTTCACTTGTTGTTACATTTGAACCAGTAAGGTATTATTTCAGTTGGAACTGCATTATTTTTATTTGGTGTGTGTATGCTGCTTTACTGCCAGAAAACTGTTAGAAGTATAGCTATAGTTGTGTTCCCCCCTCCCCCCCCCCTTTATGGTGGGTGAAGGCATTTAGACCTCAGTACTGATCATAGCGTTCTTCACCCGTGAATGTTTTGGGCCTGTGTACGCAGAGAGTAAACAACTGCAGAGGCATTCATAGCATCCATTTGTTTCTGGGGTGACTTTGTTGATTGGCTTTGTGACCACGTGGTGAGCAGTGTGGTCCTGTTGGCGTTGCTGTGGTATGAAGGGTGTGTTCTGGGGTTTCTAGTGCATCTGTCTAACAGTATTTGGCATTATTGCTGGGAGAAGAGACTTTTTGGCAATTCTGAAATGAAAAAAATTTTCATTAAGAGGTGGTGAATGATTTGGCCAATTTCCTGCAGTTCCCATAGTAGCTCTAATATTTCTATTTTATGAGTCACATGGGAAGAAGTGATTTTTTTTCAGGCCAAATGGAATTACCTAATTTTCTGTAGGGAACACTTTGAACTTCAGAGTTTCAAAATCCTGGCAACAATTGCTGCACTGGGGTGTCAAATACTGTTCAGCCTCTTCAGCCTTCACATGTCAATCAATAGTGTGTTGTAGTTAATGTTCATCTCCAATATGTAGACCACCAAGTGCTGGTTGACTGGTAAAAATAATGCAAACCAATACAGAAGATTAAAAAATGACTGGTGCCACTGAGCAAATAAGACTTAGGGGATTGATACTTGTTCATCTTGGTGCTTAGCACTGGTACCAGGGTTATGCTTCTTCCAAGTGCTTGGAGAAGAACTCTTGATAGCATCTCCCTGGAGACAATAATGCTTTGTCATGTTTAGGTATCATTTATAGATTACTGAATTGTCTTCAATGCTATGCATGGTTTTCTACCTGTGAAGTCTTCCTTTGTGTTAAACAGTTTATTACGAATTTCTGATTACTGTTTTACCCTCTATTTTTTTCAGTGTTTAAAATATTGGTTTTGTGAAAATATAGATGAATATTTACTCTTTTAAAAAAAAAAAAATACTGTTCAAGGAAAAGTTAGTTGTGTACACTTTTAGCCAGAAGTAAATTAATAAGATTCTACTGCAGCTACTCAAATAATTTGATAGAAATACACAATCAAAAATCTTTATCCTCTTTGGACTTGATTTTCTCTTATAGGAAGAAATACATTGATGTCTGAATCATGACTTGTATAGAGGATTCAAATGTAGTCAATGTACAGTGATAACTTCCTGTTTGTGGAAATTGATTTCTAGGAAGGGATTACTTAGATTAGCACTTGAATAAATGTATTCCAGAAACTTGGAAGGCTGTGGAAATAGATTGCTAAAAAATGATTCTGTAAAGTAGCAGGCAACCTGAGAATTGTTGTTCGTACTTTAGTACTGGGGTTTCAGTGTATTTATATTTTACAAAGGAGAGGGATCTGTAACTTCTTTGCTCACTGCAGGTTATAGTTAGAGCAAACAGGGTGATACGGCCAGCTAGAACAAGACACTGCCGTTTTTTAGAAGAAATAGTGACCTTTGATAGCATCAGTCTTTGGAGATGCACAGAGTCCTGCAGGCTCTGGTCATAACAAGTGCATATATATAACGTGTTTACAGTGTTTAGGAAGCTAGAGTTTCAACACATCTATGATTTATAAACACCCAGACAACTTGAATTCTGCCCCAAAGAATTTTGCTCCAAAGGACACAGATACCCGCTCTGCTTAGTGCCTGAAAGCCGTGTAAGTGGTGCAGCGTGACAGGGACATGAAGCTTTACCCAGGATTGTATAACTCCTGGACACTGAAAAGTGCGAGGTGGCAGGCAGAGCGTGGGTCAAGGAGCCCGCATTGTCTGGGAATGCAGCGTGCTCCCCAAACAGCCTGTTCTGTACGGTGTTGTGGAACCGCACTGTTGGCTAAAGCTGTCCTGTCACGGCAGGCTGTACAGCGTATGAGGAGAGCGGGGTGACACCCGCTGTGCCGGTGTACATGCCGGTATGTCGCGCAGTGCACGTGAGAAACCTGTGCCTTCTGCGTGATAGCCACGTACACACAGCGTGTTTTCATCTTGAATTCACACCACGCACGTCCTAGCTTGGAAAAGGTTAATTAAACAACACTAAGCTGCTGGCTAAGTGAGTGTACGTCTGTTAAAAAATATTTTACTCTGCAAAACAGATCGAATGGGACAACTCATTTAAAAAATGCAGGTGGTTCAGGTGGATACGCAAACTCCCACTCAGCAAGGCAAAGGTCCTCCGTGAAAAGGTCGTTTTTCTGTAGCTTAAAAACCTGCTGCTGTTTTCTAGGTGTAAAGCACCAAGACTCACAGAATTCTTTCTTGGCATTTTTGAATGCGCCTACCTCTGCTCTGGATCAATTTGAAGTAAGTGTACAGCTATTCCAACTCTCTGTTAGTCAACGAAAGTACTGCTCTTATGTGCAGTTTTTATGCAGATTTGCTGGGAATTTGCTACTCTCTTTTCATTATACTGCCCCATTTATATTTGTGTATAGTAATATGTGAGAATTGTTTGTCATTTACGGTGCTGGCTGTCTTCTGTTGAACGCTAGTAATCATACTGAACTCTCCCTCATAGGCAGAAATTTTCCTGATTTTTGTAGTGAACATGCAAAGTGTAGTTGTTCAAATAGCATTGCTTTGTATTCAGAAACGTGAAATAATGCGAATATTGGTTTGGTAAAAATGAGAGGAAATACGTAAATAATCCTCAAAGGTATTCCATGAAGTAATTGGTACTATGTATTTATTAGGCTGTTTTCCTCTTTTGTTAATTTTACACAGATCTGTATAAACCAGATAATTACTATTCATCTCCCTCCACAGATCCTGTATACTTAAAAAATAAATCTGTTTCATTTCTTTGTCACTTCTATTCAAAAGACAAGTTTAGGTAGAAAATCTGTAAGAAAAAAAAATTGAAACAATTCTGTATATTTCAGATCTTCTTTATTTAATCAACAGTAAGCAATGCATTGTTTTTCTTTTAAAAGGACAGCTGAGGCAAAACATTGGTCAAACCGAATTCAGAGGGGACAAGGCACCACCTTTACAGTTATACACTGGTGTAAAATTTTCCCTGGTTTTGGTTTTTTGAAGGGTGTACAAAATCATCACATTTAGTTATGAAAGAGCATAATCCTTGATGTTACTGATGTTCCAGAATTTAGTTTGTTTTCACTGTGTATTCACTAATTCATTGTTCTCTCAAAGTTCTCACAATTAATACCATTTTTAAATTTACTTTTAAATTATTTATCTTATAAGTTACTTTCTGTATAAAATCTTCTGTAGAAATATTATTTTATTGAGTGAATGCTGGAAAACACTGGGTTTTATACAGGTAGTTTATTCATTAATTGTCTGTGAAAGGCAATTAATGAAAATCTGCTGAGGTAAATTACTGGCACTAGTTACTTACAGTTCTTTGTTTTTGTACTTTTATTTATACTGAACAGTTTTCTTCATCCATCTCTCTCTCTCTCTCTCTCTCTTTTTTTTTTACTGCTGTTTTCATTAAAATAGGATTCCTTTTCCTCCTCTTCATCCTCATTGATTGATTTTATGGATGACGTAAGTCTTTGACTTCCCAACCAGTAAATCCCTCAGTAACAGAGATCATTTGATTGATTTGGAATACTCAAACATTAATGCAGTCAACTTAAAAATCTACAAGTGCGGTAGAGAACAGGATATTTCTGTAATAGCATACTTGCACCTATTTATGTAGGTAGATGTGAAATTTTCAAGTTTTTCTTTAGGTGCCAGTGAAGAATTCTAATTTTCAGTTTTTCTAATGGGGAGAAGCTGCTTTTGGGCCTTGTCTCCTGATATTGCCTGTGGAAAATGGTTCCAAAATCGCTGGCACATTAATTTAATTTTGTTCTATTGTTTCATATTATTACTTTATCATGAGTTGTTTCCAAAATTTACTGGTCACTTCAGCGAACATGTTTTCCTTGCATACAGTTAATTTCTGTTTGCTCAACTAAAATATTGTCTGCTTTTTAGCCTATATTGTAAGAAGTAGTTTTCATTGTAACTGAAGTAACTTACTACCTTTTATTGCCATTAGAGATGCTAATTTTTAATCAGGACAGTGTTTAAATATTTACCCTAGTTATTTGCATACTAAGGGAATTGAATGAAAAGCTGAAGATTGACTGCATTATATTTATTTCAGACAGAAGTAGTAGTAGGTACTTAAAAGTAAATAATAATAAGAAATCAAAGCATATACCATGTATCCATGGTAGAGCATCCATTGCATCCATTACATCTCTGTAGGTATGTGGTGTGTGTATGTCTGTGTGTGCTTGTATATATGTGTATACACATACACGCGTATTTCTACATATTTATTTAAAATAGGTTATTCTATTTGCTTTAAAATGCAATGTAGTTAATTTTATTCTAGAAATGTCTGCTGTGAAGGATGTAAGAAAAGGGTATAGTATATGGGCCTGTTCTACTGGTTGCATTTCCTTTCCCAAACTCCGAAGGAATGCTTTTCTTCTAGATGCTTTTTTTCTGAAAATCAAATATATACCTTAGATAAAACATGAAGGTACATTTGTGGTATCATAGTAGAAGGTATTTGCCTGCACCTTCTGTATAGCATATAGAAAACCTTGTCTGTTGGAATTCTTTTACACCAAAAAATGAGAGTACAGTTTTCTGTCATGTTAAACCTACAATAACTGAATAATATTTATATCTTTTTTCTGGATTAAAGAAGTGTTCTCTGTGTTGCCTGAGTAGGAACACTTAGTTTGTATCAGCAGTTTCATAGAAAGTTACCTTTAAAAATATCTAATATTCTCTCCTAAAAGCTGCTAAAAGAGAAATACATGTGTGGCAGAGTAGCTGATCATGTTCTATTTTGCAAGGGGTAATGTAAGACAAGAAAGTATTCCTGGTTGCTATCAGGTTAGTTTTGAAGGACACCATTACTTTATTCTGTATTTGTTACGGGTTGGGTTTGGGTTTTTCTAAAGAAGGCAGCATATATTTTTCATGAGCATTTTGACGAAAGCACATTTTTTTAATCTATGCGATTGAATGTGTTTCAACTGTTGGCGTACGCCCTGTAAGACATTCTTCTTGATTGGGCCACCCAGATCAAACCTTTTCAGATGCCTGTCTTCTAGTCTTTGGTAAAACTCCAGGTATTAATGTGTTTTGTTGCATGTGAACGACTTCATGCACACAGAATCAAACTTCCCTTGTTTCCATCTTCAGTCTGAGTCCAGCAGGAGTGTTGTTTTCCTCCGTTGCGCTGGGGAGGAGTACGTTTCTGGGCTGGACTGGCCAGGGGCTAACATCTCTGACGCTGGGGCAGATTTCTCTCTTATCTAGCAGAACTGCAGATGAAGAGAGTTGACCCTTCAGAGATAGGGAGAGTACCTGGCAGACACCACAAGACTTGTTGGGTTACCTGGCTTTAGGAGAAAGAGAAGTATAGCTGATGCCTGCGTTAGTAGGTGAAAGGTTGTATAATGAAATTGTGCTTAAAGTCAGTTCTGCATCTTTAATTTGTTGGACAATTACTGGATTCATTCATAATATATAGCCTCAGAACTATCAAAATGGTTATTTATGTTTTAGCTTGTTGAGTTGGTGCAATATCAATGTATTGGCAGACTTAAGATAAAATAAGGGTATTAAAAAAAAAATTCCTCCCACTGGATGTGACCTCCTGTACCTTTCCAATGTCTCTTTTTGACAGTAGTTATCTTGAAGTGTTTCTTGCAGCATTTCAAGAAGAATTAATCTTGTTCTCGGTCAAACCCAAGAAGCGTGTGGGTTCTTTCTATAAAGACCAAGGAAAAAGTAGACGTGCTCAGGTCAGAGTCATGCAGTGGTGCAGTATTGTGTGAGTTTCAGGAACGTCTCTCCTGTAATCAAGAACCCAAAGTAAATATTACTAGCGGCCCGTACTGTTTCTCCTGCCTCTGTGCTTCGTTATGGAGTGGCAGAGAGAGTATAAAATAATACGCAGTTGCAATTAGATCCCTCTCCTGGCAAGATCTCTGCAGTCTGTTTAGCACAGAGATGTGTGAGCCGCCCTGAGCTTGGCCCACTGATTGCGTTTGGAGTTTACTGTGGTGGGTATGTCTTGTGTGTCTGCTATCCAGATACCGTCATTGTTCATAGTACTCTGTGAGTGACTGGAGTTAATTCTGATTGTTTCCATGAGGAGAACAGTAGCTTTGCAATTTCTTCTGGAGTGAAGTAAAATAGATGTCCAGCTGCCTCTGTATGTAGCCTGCAGATACTGAGCAAGAGAAGTAGTGTTCACTCTTCAGACGAGTAGCAGTCACTGTGGGTTCCAGGTATTCCTCCTCAAACACGAAGAAAGGTACTTGGTCAGGTTGGCAGAATTGGTGCCTAAATCCTCATTCCTGCAAAAGCCCAGGCATTCGGAAAGGACCCTTGTATCTCCTGTGCACATGGGAGGGTGCGAAGGGGAGTAGTAGTGGAGGGAAGTCACCCCCAGTGACTAGTACACTCATTTCTAAATCTTGGCAGCTGTTTCTCCTGTGTGTTGCAGGCTGTTTCTCAGTAACGTGCTCTGGGTGTTGTCTCCTGTGTTCCTAAAGTGTCTGACTATGGAAGTGTTGGGGTTTGGGTTTTTTTCCAAGTGGATCTTTGTGTATCTCAACAGCCGGTAGAAGCAATCAACTTGTTTTCTGTAAAGATGAATTTGTGATTATTTAATAACAATAAAATGGAATCCCATTTTCCCTTGACAAAATTATTGTCCCCGCTTGCTACAGAAAATACTACTTTTCCCCTGTTATCAACACATAACAAATTAGGAATAGATTCCTCCTGCAATCTGTCCTCACATGCAGTCCCCGTGGGCCTTGGTTAGTCTAAACAAGTCTGGACTTTGTGAATAAACACAGAATAAATAGTGTTCTGAACTCTCATTATTAAACAGAAGAAGACACAGTAGTGTGTAGGAGAGCCCTGGCTCTACCTGCACTTTCGTAATTAAGTTTAGAATAATTCTGGTTCTTAATGATACTTGAAATTGGACATACGACACCTCCAAGAGATTGCTTGATTCACCTTGTTCAAAGTATGGAGATGCTAACTGCACGTTGTCAGTGTAACGTAGTCTGCAGGTTTACTCCTATCGTCCAGTGTGAAAATACAGACTTCAAAATACCTGTGCCTTTTTTTGATGTACATTCCCTCTTCTTGCCCCAGAATATCCTGTTTTCAAAATACCTGTAAAAATGAAGATGTTTTGTGTGTGTCTAAACAATACCTCTGGAGATAGTGACGAATTCTGAGCTGATGTGTGTGTCACTGTTTGGTTTTGTAACATATTCTCCTCCTTTCTCTGTTAAAGCACTCTCCTTCCTGTATTCCAGCTAACAAAGGCAGACGTGTAAGAGGCTGTCCTACTCTATGTGGCCCTTTCTTTTTTTGCCTGTTGTGTACATGCCTTTGTTTAATGTATGGATTGTTTATTGACCCCACTGCATGTCTTGTGCTGTTGCTGCCGTTTGCTGCTGCTGCTGCTGTGCTTTCTGTTGTTTTCCAGCTGTGGGCTTTTGGAGCGTTTCATTTGGTAACCCCGTGAGCAGGATATCACAGTAACCAGGAACGATGCTGTGGGTACCTTCTCATTTCAATATGGAAGCTCTTTGCGAAGGCTGATGAGGTAGATGCAGGTTGGGACGATGAGCAAACGTCACATGGGGGCCTGTTTGTTTCCTTGCCCTTAGCAGAGGGCGGGTGTTGAGTTATGGGAATCGCCTAGAGAAGGCAGCAGTTTGGCGTTTGGGAGGCATGTCACAGCAAATGATAGAAAACACCGCGGTAGAAAGGTAAATAAATGGGAAAGTGGGGAACGGAGTAAACTGGAGCATCAAGGAGGGCAGGAAAAATTCATACAGGGAAAACAGAGTTGGATGGGTGGGAGTCTCTTAAGCTGGAAAGCTCTATGGTGCTACAAAAATCAAGGTGGATTTTTAAACTCGGTGTTATCCAAGCTTTGTCAGATGAATTGGTTCCAGGTATGCTGTGTCCGTTTCAAACTCGTACTGACACCTTTGTTTCCTTTATACGCATACGATGACAGGAACAGGAAAGCATACAGGTCACTAATACTGAATATTCAATAAATAAGCAATAACGCCCAACAGCACCACCAGTGACCTTACCGATGCAGTTCAAAGCACACCGCGCCGTGTCTTAGGCAAGCTTGCAGTAAGTAACTCCTGTGGCTCCAGCCCAGAAGTCTGTCTCCCCTCGAGGTGTGCTCATCCAGCTTGGGCTCAGGCCTGCAGAGGTGACAGCGAGCACACAGCTAAGCACAGTCCTGTGGAAGACGACAAGGCTACTCCAGTTTGATAGGAAATATTGATGCATGCTTTTGATAATCCGGTGGATTAGTTTAATTGGAATGGTGTTAATAAGGTCCACGTAGGCTTTTGGCCGCAGTTGAGTCAGGTTGCTCTTGTACTTAGTTCTCATGAACGCAGGGAACCCGGAGGTACAGCAGCACTACAGCTTAAGGCCCTGTTTCTGCAGTGAAGGTGGTGGTTAAATTCCCTTCAAACTCTGTAATGGTAGATCAGGTTCTGTGTGTTTTGTGGGCTTTTTATGTTTGTAAGTCAAGTAAAAATACATTTGTTACTGGTTCAGC